CTTCCTACTTGCAGCGCGGGCCTTTTCAGCGGCGCGTTCTGCCTGCACTTGTCTCTCCCACATCGAAGCATACCGTCCATTGGCAGCTACCAGCTGATCATGTGTACCCTTCTCGGCGATGGTACCGTTGTTGAGTACGATGATTTGGTCAGCATGCGTGATAGTAGACAACCGGTGTCTGTGTCTCGCGTTAGTATTGAGGCTTTCAAGGTCAACTGTACAGGGCGGTAACAATACGTACGCAATAATGAGCAAAGTCCGGCCCTGGCCAAGATGTCCAAGTCTGTCCTGGATCTGCTGCTCCGTGTGTGCATCGAGGGCTGATGTGGCCTCGTCAAGCATGATGATTTTAGGGTTCTTAAGGATCGTCCGAGCAATCGCAACTCGTTGTCTCTCGCCACCACTGAGCTTGAGACCACGCTCGCCAACCTTGGTGTTGTATTGCTCAGGAAAGGACATGATGCGATCGTGAATGCTGGCGGCTCGGCAGGCTTCAAAGACTTCCTCATCGGTGGCAGCCTGATTGGCGTATCGGAGGTTGTACATCAGAGTGTCGTTGAACATGGTGGTGTCCTGGGGAACAACGCCAATGAAACGTCTGACGGAATCAATAGTAAGGTCCTTGACGTCCTGGCCGTCAATTTCGATGCTGCCGGAAGAGGTGTTGTAGTACCGAAACATCAGGCGGAAGACGGTCGATTTGCCACCGCCAGATTCGCCCACAAACGCGGTGGTGGTGCCAGGCTTGCATTCAAAGTCGAGGTCCTTGAGAGCCTTATTCTTCGGGTCGTAGTTGAATGCAACCTTGTTCCATCGGATGTTGCCATTGCATTCCAACAAGGGCCGGGCCCCCGGCGCGTCAACAACTGTCGGCTTGACCTTGAACAGCTCCAAAAGACGTTCGCCAGAGATCATTGCCTGTTGTATGGTCCGGTAAAATGACCCAAAGATGTTCAGGGGCGTCTGCAGCTGATTGAGAAACGTCATGAGGGTCAGGAACCTGCCAACATCCATGCCCCCCTTTGTCACCTGGTAGGCGCCAAAAACCATAACAACGCCAAAACCGAGCATGAAGACGCAGGCCTGGATAACGTTCATTCGGTTCACGCCCCAAGTGACTTGCTTTTCAGCGTCCTGGTAGGCTTGAATGGCGTTCCGGTAACGCTGGAACTCCCATTCCTCCGCATTGAAGTATTTGACTGTTTCGTAACTCGTGATCGAGTCGTTCTTCACGGCTTCTTCCTCTCTGTCGGCATTGCTCATGATTCTTCGCTGGTCGGCCCTGGTTTGCGCCATGCGGATGGTTAGGAACAGATACCAGAATGTCAAACAGCTGACAATGGCTCCGTAGGTTGCATCAAAGTAGTAGCAAAAGAAGCCAACGGCCAAGAACAGGTCGACAATCATGGGAAGGACTGAGAACGTCGCCTGCTCAAGGAAGGAGTTGATTGATGCGCCTTTGTTCAAGGCTGACAAAACCTCCCCGGTCCGCTTCCCAAGGTGGAAATCAAGGCTGAGGGAGTGGACGTGTTCAAAGGCAGCCGATGTCAAGGCCCTGTAGGAGTTCTGCGAGATTGGCACCCATAGGATAGCACGAATCGCATCCAGAAGCATGCCTGTTCCTTGCATCAGTCGGAGAAAAATGAGTAAACCCAGAACAGCCCATGGCGCTTGCTGGAGTGTCAGCTGTCTAGTAAGCCAACCAACAACCACTGGGACGAGGACGTTGACGAGGCGCTGTCCAACCAAGAGCAGCACGCAGATGGCGAAGAGAAACTGCAGATGCGGCGAACCCTTTGGCCACTGGTACTCGAAGAAGACCTGGTAACTCCGCACATACTCCCACCAGCTCTTGTGAGGTGCCTTGTCGGGTCGATAGAAGCCAGGCTCTTTGTAGTCCTTAGAGCCAAGAGCACCCTCAGCTGCGCCATTAGCGTTGCCAACAGTGCTCCCATTCCGCGAGGTTCGAAGCGATCGGCCAGTTTGACTGCTGTATGACATTCGGTGGCCGTTGACGCCGTTGAGAAGAGGCGTCGTCTCCTCGACACGTTGCGATGAGTTCTGCCCCTCAAGCTTGTTTTCCTTTTCCTGGGGTTTGCGGAGCCAAGCTGCGACGTAAATGCCAACGAGACCAATCATCAGAACGATACGAATGGCGCCGAGAATGATGTCCGCCAGGGCCCACTTGGAGACCTGTGGTTGGGGCAGCTGGACCCGTGTTGACTTTTGGTCTTTGGGGTTTGTGACCTGGTGGATGGTGCAGATGCAGATAATCAGCTCGCCAATAAGAGCGAGGCACCATGTGATGAAGTGCGCGATGGTCGGAGCTTCGTGCCATTCGATGAGCGTAGTGAGAAGGTAGAGGTACAGGTTTGGCGACGCAATCAGGTAAACCTGTTTCCTGTTAGCAAAACTTTCGGGTGGCAGGAGAGGACTGAACATGGCGTACAATCATAGACTGCGAATCCTTGACGACATGTTCGATGCCTTCCAGCTCCTGCATGACGTAGCTGAAGTGAGCAATGCCATTGGAGACAAAGGTAAGGAAGACGGCGGCGGAAAGCCACGTGAACCAAGTCCTCGAGGTTGGGGACAGAACAGGTCCGTATCGTAGGCGTTCGGTTTCATTGTCGCCACGGCGCTTCTTCTTCTTCGACACGGGCAGCCGTTTACCGCCTGGGCCCAGAGCGTCTGCGCCGGCGTCGTCGTCTTCTTCTTTCGGTGCCGTCACGATGCTGTAGGTTGCGGCCGAGACAACGAATACCACCAGCAATATCAAGGGGTAGTAACATAATGTCTCGTCGAGCAAGAAGCAGGAAAAGGCATCGGTTTCGCCGCAAGTCGTATTGGCTTTCGGACTCGTGCCGTTGTCGAGCCGCATCGGCAGTGGCGGCTTCTCAACACCGGCCATGGTGTGTGGACTGTGAGGGAGGGAAGAAATCAGATGTCAGAGACGACGACGAGAGTTAGAGGAGGGGAAGCAGCCCCCCTGCGTAGGAGAGGAAAAGAAGGAAGGAAAGAAGAGAAAGGGAGGGAAAGACCAGATTACTTACAATTCGTGATCCGGGGGAAGTAGGATGTTAACTTCACACCATTGCCAGAAATGCCACTTGCGCGTTGTATACGCAGGTCAACGCGGCTTCCCGTGGCAAGTTGGAGGCCCGGCACCTCTATACGTTGCAAGGGGAGTGGGAGTCCACAGGAGCGACGCAGAGAGACACGAGATCTCGTTTCGGGACCAAGATGCTGGAGCAAGGCACAGACGACTGAAGACGCGAGAGGCCTGGTAGGCGATTACCCGCCCGTCTAAAAGGTTCTGGGTCTGGCTCTGGATGCAGGTGGTACCGGGGGGAGGTAGGGGTCGAGGGCGCTGCGACAGGGGGGTGTCGTGCAAGGCGTGCGTTCCCAAAGGCTCGTGGTGCAGGGGGTGCAGGTCGAACCCACAGGACCACAGGGCGGTACAGAGAGGCCCTGTTCAGTTGGAGTAGTGGTGGTGGGGTCGGCTGACTTGCTCAGTGGCGAAAAGCCACTCTGAAGTCCCTGGTAGTCGAGTCAAGACTTGTCAGATACTCGGCGGCGGAGGACAGGTGGGGCGGTATTTTTCTGGCGAGGTGGGCTTGAATGCAAAGCAGAGGCTGTGCCCGGATCGGAGAGGCAAGAAAGACGCGGCCCCTTGGAAGCCGAGGGGAGTTGAGCCGGCGGAAGCTGAATGCTGGTGCTGAATGCCTTGGCCAGGTGGGCTCAACTGGGCCTGGGTTCGCCGCAAGAAGCCGAGCAAGACTTTGGACGGAGGATAACCAAGGAACAGAAAGCTTGTGACCGGGAAAGAGTAGCGAGAGGCCTCGGGTTGGAATCTGAGGGGCGTGACACGGAAGAGGTATCCGCTAAGTATTTCGATGGGCGAGGTACGCAGGCAGTATCTGGAGACGACGCGGTAGACGGCAGCAGCTAGCTAAACTAGGTGCTGTTTTTTGCCGACAGCCGGGGTTAGTACCGAATTTTTCCTCTTAGGGTTTTCGTCTCCTTTGCCTCTGGAACGAGTGACGACGGAACCTCTCAGGCGCGAGAGGTGTGGTGAGAAGATGGGATCAAGGAAAAGGAGTGGGAAGAAGAATAAAATAAGCCCCTGGCAGGTCTCGAGGTGTGTAGGAAAAGACAAGGCGTAATAAAGAGACGACTGGGGGGGGGGAAGGTTGGGACGGTGACGATGGTGATTGAAGGAGGAAGGGGTGTGTGATGGTAGTGGAGGGTGGGTGACAGGAAAGAGCCTGAAAGCAGGTACAAAGTACACTCACTACAGCTGCTGCTGCATATCGGCCACACATCGAGGTCGAGGCAGGCACGGATCGCCCGAAGTAGTAAGTGCGACGACCCAGTCCTGCTGCCACAAGCAGCTGTCATGTACAAGTAAGTAGGTACCTTGTGTACCTTACCTACCTCAGTATAGGTAGGTTGGTGGGCGAGTTGGTTCGTGTAAGGCAAGGCAAGGCAAGGAGGGAAGGAAGGCTGGGCGAGGTGGTATTCATGGCGACGGCAGGCAATATGGGTATTGGGACACCGGGCGCTGTGAGGTGGAATACGTGCACATAAATGGGCAACTTACATTTGCAATATGTCAGTGGCAGAACTGTTTGGGTCCTTTCGTTTGCCAGCAGGCGTGAAGCCTGTGATGGGAGCAGCCACAGAAACGAGCATGCAGAGAGTGAGTGTCGTGCCCGTAGTTTTGTTGTTGTAGCAGGCAGTAGTGTAGTCAATGAGCGGTGTCTGTCTGGCGCGGTATCCTTTCGGCAGCGAGCAAAGACAGTGAGTGAGTGGCTGGCTGGCTGGCTGGCTGACCCGTTGTCAGTGTGCCAGTATACAGCATACCTTGGCAACAGCGGCAGTGGGAGCGGTAGCGGCAGCGGCAGCTTGACTAGGTTCGTTCTCGGGAAAGGCAGGTAAAGGGAAATAAATAAATGCTGGCCAAAGGGTTCAAGCAAGTGGAAGAAACAAACGAGAGTCTGGCATCCACCCTCGAGTGTGAATGTGGGGATCCGTCTCGGCTGGTTTGCGTGAGGAGTGGAGCAGGGGCTGGGGGGCCGTTGCTGGTGGCTGCCGGTAATGGCGAGTGTGTGGTTGTTGCCGTCTCTGTTGTTTTCGACTACGACGACGATGATGATGGTGGTGGTGATGGCCATGAACTCACGGAACGATGGCGAGCTATCGGCGATTTACAGAGGTACTTGGTTTACTGCGGCTAGGCTTACCTATCTACTCTATCGGCGAGGTATCTGTGTACCTATGTATTGCGATGGGTGACAAGGTGGACCCGAGGGCAGAGGTACACTTGTTCGATGTCTACCATGGTGTAAGTCAGATGTAAACGGAACAGGAGCTTGCAGCTTCTGGGCTTAGTGCCAAAGGAGGTCTGGACTCGGTCGATGGCTGGAAACAGATATTTGCCAAGGGTCCTCTTGTGCGCCCTGGTTAGTGCCGGGGCTACTCATGCATAAGATGTTGCTCGGAGTGGTGGTGTTACACATAGCGAAAGCACGGAACACGGGGATGGGGGTTTTGAGATGGGGGGGATGCAAACGGGGGGAACGCAAACGGGGGATGAGGATGAGTTGGGCCCCCAAAATGGGGACCACGTCCAGGGGGAAAGAAGGAACGATACCACATAGAGTACGGAGTACTCCCCGAGCAACTCCCCTCCCTCACATACCTATCGTACATGGAAAGTGAGGAGAAGCTTGAATGTCGAGGGCGACAGGCAGCCCCAGTGCAAGAATAGACAAAGAAAGGAAAGAAGAAGAAAATTATAGCAGAAAAATCAAATCAAACGATAAGCATAAAGCACACAGCCCAGAATCCAAGTCCAATCAATTCAATGGTGGTGCTAACATGGAGATGGAGGGGTTCGATGGATGATGCGCCAGGGTGGTGATAGCAGGACGTTCATTCAATCCGATATGGCTCATATGGGTACGTTGTACGCAAAATATACGTGATGTCTTGTATATGTACGATGAGGAGTATACTGTGTTGCAGACAGTGTCATCAACAACTGCGGTTCCGTTTTGTCACAGCCAGAGCGGAGCGGGGCGGGCAGGGTGAATGCCGGATGTTAGGATGAAGGGACGAGGGATAAGAGATGAGGGAGACGTGACGATGGTGAGGGATATTGAGAAACACAGCATGTTGCTCACGGAGGGGCCACCTAACCGGATTAAATCGGCAGGTTGCAGAAGTGGCCGAGCGAGGAACCAACAGGGCGACATCGAATCGAAGATTGCAACGCCCAATATGTAACCGACCCTTGTTGCTTGTAAGTTCTGAATAGAGTCAAGTGCGAATGCACACGGAGCTCCAAGGTCAGGTCCTGCCGGTAAGCTGACCACAGGCCAGTTTTTTTTTAATTGCTTTTTTATCGCTTTTTAATTTTTTTTCTTCTTCTTCTTATTCTTCTTCTTCCTCTCCTTCTCCCTCTTCTCCCCCTTTTTTTTTTAATGTGTATTCTTTGTTATCTTTTCTTTGGGCGCTGGCTGGGATGGACTCCAGATGGGAAGTGACTCCGACCCCGAGTCCGTGACCTCTATGACTGCAAGGGATTCCTGCCTCTCGACCCGTCGCGGCCGCAGTGCTCGTTAATTAATTAATTGCGCGGGCTGCGTGGGGTGGTCGTCGCCGTGCAGCTTACGTACCTACCTGTACAAGCAAGAAGCACACCCTTTCTTTCCCTTTCGACCTGACCTAGAACTAGCGTTCAAAAAATGCGACGGACTGAATTGAATGGATGACGACGGATGGCTGAGCGGCAACGGGGAACGGAACCAATCATCGATGATCCCTGCCCGACTCCTGCTTGCCTTGGGCCATCCCTCCTTCCTCCGTCCTCTGTTCTAAACTATCAATGTCGTTGGTTTCTTCCAATGTATTCCCCCTCGCCCTCCATGTCTCAGCATCTCCGTCCGCAACTGATGGCTCCAAGGCCACTTTGACCCCGTCCGTGATGATTACCGTCAAAGAATGGCTTGAAGCCAAGTTCTCAAGTTGCTGGCGGACTGTCGCCTGGCCCCGACTAACATTTCGACTAACACCCTTTATCGTTGGCTGTCAGGTCGACCGCCCTTGCTCTTTGTATCCGGCACTTGTGGAATGTCATCCTGCTCCATTAGTTACACTCCTCCCGAACGATCGAAACGCTCGTCCAAGGACGCCCGAGCGACGGCGCAAGGACGAAACATATTCAGACAAGCTTCGGACTCGAGCAACCAATACGCCTACCACAAAGCCGTCGTATGCTCGCTCTGGAATGTCGACTTTTTGTGCTACCATACCACCACCGGCTGACCAAAGAGACTGGTGCTGTCTGTCTTCGGCCGAGATGCCCAACGACTACTAACGCAATGCTACCGCCCGCCCGCTTGTCAGCCACTCCAGCCCGCTCTATCAGGTTCACCTAGGCGAGATGCAGCCTCCGATCCGCCGCGTCTCCCTCGTAATGGGTGTGACCTCCTTCTTCTTTTCGGCCCCGGCCCAAGCCCGTATCCGGCGCCACCACCTGTCAAGGAGGTTGCAAAGGAATCTCAAGCAATCGCGGCCTGGTCGCTCAACTTCCGAGACCCCTGACGTCGCCCGCATCCTTATTGTCACTGCTTGCGATGCTGTAGTGCTTGATATCAACCCGTGGTTGGGTGGTCAGAAGCTCGACCAAACGGCTTGCATCCAGGCCCCTCTCACCGCTTGAACTCGACTATCGGCTGCGTTAGCAGACGGAGGGGACAGTGACTGCAGCCGCAGCTTGCATGCCACCATGTATGCACGCACGCACACTCCGGACCAGCAGCAGTGTGCCTACCTTCCTGGGGCTCCTTTTCAGGAGTGCAAGTGGATCTAGGTCCAGCAACCACCTGCTAGCAGACAGGCTGGTACACCCCTGCAAACTCGGCGGCTTAGATACGGTGTGGTTCTGGATGTGGTGGGTTTGCGGTTGCGCTATGGTCAGAGTTTCGAACGCTTCGCAGCACTGGATGGAATGCAACCCATGGGATTGGTTGACGCTCTGCAGCATAGATGAGTGGGTTTGACAAGTACAGAAGTACACCATCAAAGGCCACCACCGGCCTGGCACGTCGACGATCAACCGATGGCCTCGGATGGTTTCGCCCGCCCAAAGGGCAGGCATCTGGCCGCTTCTCCTGCTGCGCTAATGGGCTCGGTTACAAGGCCGTTGAGGATTGGCCATCGTCACTCTTCCATCCGCCTATTCGCTGCGACCAACACTGAGTTATCCCAAGTCGATTACTGGGAGGCGCGACGGTCGCTCGCCTAATCGCTCTAGCTAGTTGCCAGTCATATGGAAGAGGCTGGTGACGGATCTGCAACGCCCGGCTCGAGTCACGCCGAAGCTGCGAGTTGCGGCTGTCGCAGACCATTCGGCTGGGAAGTGGCCGATGCTTTTAATAGCTGTTTCACGTCTACCGTCTGACTTTGGCGACAGCGCGCGCGCTGTGAAGGACGCGCAATATCCTGTCGGATGAGACGGGCTGCGCCATTGACTCGACACCATGCGTCTCGCGCACTCTTTGCTCTCCAAGCATCCCATATGGACGCGATGTTGGGAGTGCCATAAACAATATCGCACCAGTCGGTGGAAAGAAAGCAGTCTGTTGGGCCGCGGCTCGGGACACTCGACGGCCGAAGGTCGTTCCCCCCAATTATTCCGTGGCAAAACCTACCCAATGTCTCCCGCCTCATCCGGCGCGAAGTAGCCGTCCTTGGGTCCATCAACACTCGCTAAACGCAGCATGATGCTGTTTCGCTTCACGTGGACCGAGGCACACATGGCTAACAACCGCGCCTCGAGTCTCGCCGTTACCAAGCTACTCACCGTTGGGAACCGTCACTTGGTCTTTCTACCAAATGCGAGCACTATGTAGAGAGCCACAAGTAGACAAAGTGCAGAGTGACGGGGCCGTCTGCATACTAGACGCCCCATTGTGTCTACTGCACTGGATGATACATGATGAAAAGCGGAGGCCAGCCGCCGTCGTCCGCCAGTATTGCTCAGCGGATCAAGGAGGGCTGAGTTGGGTACGGATGCAGCTAGCCTCCTCACCGGATGCTATGACCATGCTCAACCGCGAAACGGAAGCCCCTCCGAACCACCGCCGGCATCTTCTGCAGGCGTCTAGACCACAACTCGACATGTCAGACAAGGGGGCCATCTTTGAGAGCCCACTCAAGAGTGCATGCGCCAATGACGGCGACTCTCAATACAGCCTCGCCTTCTTGCTTGGTCACGATACATTTCTGTCCCTCCCGTGCTTCAGCACGTTCTCAAAATTGCTTCCTCTTCGCGAAGACCACATTTCTCTGCGTTTCTATGCCCAGCATGAAGATGTGATACAACAAGCTCATGACGTTGAATGGGACATGCAATTCTTTCTGGTATCACAAGGCTGAGACGTCATTTCAACACAGCATATGCACCCCGTATGCAATGTCGCCTTGTTAGGGTCTGGGGAAGCGTAGCTCGTGGGGAAAGGCAATTGGAAGTGGGACTTCCCAACACACACAAACACACAAAGTTCCGTTGTTCCCCCACATCGTCACTTTGTCTTCTTTGAGCCTCAAAACTGACAACGTTGCGGCTCGACCGCCACGTATGGGCTCTTGATGCAGCCGCAGGCCCGACGCTGGCCTACGTGTTTCCTTTTATTTCTCTTTGTCTCTCTCTCTCTCTTTTCATTCCTTTTTCTTTCTATCTTTTTTTTTTTTTTTTGGTAACTGCCAACATCTCCGGAAGATGGAACCCGTCTCACATATAACAACAAGTAAGGAGCAACACTTATTGATATCACATGACATCTCAGTCGGCCACCTATAATTAGTAGGCTCGTTTGACGCAGCCACCGACTCTCTTGGGATGAGATCATCAGGGATCGGTCAATCTCGCGGTCTAGGCCCTTGTCGTCGTCATCAGGCCGTGTGCTTACTTGCGACAGGTCGGATCCAATGGCACGGTGCGGGCCCCCCCTGTGGTTGGCTTCGGTTGTGTCAATGATGGCCTCTGACAAGGGCCCGCATGGGCAAGCCACATACCGGTAGTTCGGCGGCAGGCATAGTTTTGCCTGTTTCAGCGACTGGGTTTCCGTGTGCTGACTTACTTTCGTATCGAAACGTCTGGTCGTATTTGTGTTTTTTTTCTTCGATACTACTCAGAATGACTAAGTTGGTCGGGGTCGCACACATCACACGTTACCCGAGGAGCTAATTAGCGGGCTTCCATGCATCATCCGTTCCCGGCCAGGGGTATCCGAGCGAAGCAAAAACCACAGCCAACAACGAGATGGCAGCATTTCGCCACGGAGTCAATCAACGAGACTTCCAAGGACAAAGTCGCCAAGCTTCGCAACGTGATACTCGCTAATAATCCACTGATACATGGCATGGGATGAACACGCCAGCGGCAGGCCCAGGTGGCTTGGACTATGTAAGACTCTGATGACAGGTCTGACTCAGATGCGAGCAATGGCCATCTGAGACCATCAACGCCGCCGTCGGTGGCTTCTACCTGCAGGAAGCCACACAAAGCCAAACTGGGGCATTTTAATCGAGGACTTCGACGGTTTGAGACCTGCCACGGCTTACGAAGCAACACGGGCCGTACGGCGAGAATGCGTGTCGAAGAGTCGCAAGCTCCTTCCCGCGCAGGGGAAAGATGAAAAAGGAAACTGTGTTGGCTGGAGGGATGAAAATCATCTGAGACATGGCATTGCTTCTTTATTTACCCTCCCGTGTCGTACATGATGTGTTCTGCAGGAAGAGGAGGCTCATTGAGGGAGGGGCCAAGGACCATGTTTGGGAGCCAACCACGCAGACAGGCGGGGGGCACTGCCGCCCGGTTGTAATTTATTTTCATCTCTCGAGGTTGTTCGATATGGAACTGCAGGGCAGTGTTAGTGTTGATCAATGTCTGGAACTTGGTAAGAGCAAGCCATGGAGGGGTTGCTGCAGATGCCCAAGGCGGTGGGCAGCGTCTGGAACGGATGACTGGCGAGGCCTAGATGGTGTTTCCCGTGAGACCAATCGTGTCGATGGTGAAGCTATACCAGCTGCAATATGGCAACGTTCGATAGATGTTCAGCTGTGGGCCGGACGTGGATGCCGAGGAGGAGGCGGCCGTAGACGAACATCCCAAGAGCCCTGGCTGCTTCTCTCATCTGATAACGCTGGGTTTGGGGGATATCCAAAAGGCGATGTTTTGATCGCCGCCGGCATATAGGTAATGGGACTCGATAATGCTGACCTTGGTAAAGGGAGCTGAAAACATCCCCCCCCCCATGCGGAACAATGACATAGGTTCCAGACCCATTTTTTATTAACACACCACTACGGGCAGACGTTTCTGAACGGCTGCATGGCATCTGCTACACGACATAAGGGTATGTATGCTGTATACCCGACGCCGTCTGCCAGCATGCCCGGCGGATGCGTTGGAGATCTGCTATCCCAATGGCACCGCACCCTCCATCAAAGTCGGACGACAGCGAAGGAAGAACACCGGGCGAATCGGCGGGTACAACTTCCGGTTTGGTTATGAGACACGTTTTCTTCCTGCACCATTAAGTAGTGGCAGCGGCGGTGGCGGCACGTCAACCCAGCCGTGACGTCCCAGCCCAGTCGAGACCCAAACCCATATCCCAAGCCTCTCACGATTGGCCTTGAAAAGAGAGAGAAAGAGAGACATCCACGGAAGACGCTAGCGAATGACTCAAGGTGAACGCTGTCAGGTTGGAACCAATGTAACCAGCAAGCCAAGCCAACGCTTTGCAGCTGTGGGATACGGTTCGTGTCGTCATCTAGAGCGTGCCAGTAGACTCAGCTCGAGTCCCGAAGACCAAGTACACGGCGTAGGCCCGCGGGCGTGCCGCAAAACACGCCTCGTCAACCCACACTTCCTCCCGGTTACACTGCGCACGAAACGATGCACGGCGGCTTACACGCAGAGGAAACCCCAACCCCGAAGACGCAGTCATCGAGGAGATGGCGAGTCCGCGATCGCGGCCTCGGGAAGGGAAGCGGCATTTGTACTCCGTCCGCTCTCAACCCCTCATCTCGTCCTTACTCCGTAGATACCCGAGCCTTGCTCTCACTTAAGAGACTAGTACACGATGATACTTCCCGCCGCTGGTGCCAAGGCCGGGGGGCTGCTATGAGCTGCCAGAGCCCAGGGCATGGCCCTGGCTTTCCCACCCTCCGCGGCATTCGGTGAAGGGTGAGAATGTGGCGCATGCAGGATGTCGTACGCCCAATGGGGCGTGTGCTTGTGTGCGGTTTACGGTTCGAGAGTACGACAGTTCAGTCACCGAACCACATTAGACCCTGCAGCATGCGGTGCTTATGTCCTCATCTCTCTCGTGGGAACCGGAAGACGGGCTGTTGTTTAGTCCTCGTAGACGGAAGATTGGGAGAGCAAAGAGAATGCGTCTTCCATGGGGAACTTTGGTGACCGCGGGTACGAGGGGAGCGCGTTGTGGTACATGGCGGAGGACGGGTTTCCACGCGCGCTCGCACGTTGCTTTCTGGTCCTGCTCCCTTTCTGCCCTCCCCGCCTGCATCCGGCTAGCTGCACCGAGAAAAAAAGGGGGAAGGTTGTCAAGTGGGCACCCGCGGCACGGTAACCTAGTACCGGCCGGGGGGTGGGAGTCGTGGTCGGTCGTGGCCCGGCTCTTGGGAGCTTGGGGTGTGTGCGCGGCTGTTATTGTTTTCGGCAGACCTGCATGCGAGATAGTAGCGGTGAAGGGGGTCGGTGTACTGCATGCTTGTCCGGGTCTTTTGCTGGGGGACATCGAGGTCCCGCCTTTCTCGCCTGCTCTCCTATCGTGTTGCGCAAATCGAGCCGGCTCCCAAGAGGCAGAGATGGACAAGAAAAAGATGAGAAGATGAAAGAAGCCAAACGAAACCCATCCAAGTCACCTGGCGAAACCCTCGCGCGTCCCAAGTCCTAAGACATGAAATGAAAAGAGGTCGAGCGTAACATGATGCGACTGAGAGTGATGTGGGTGGAAACCCGGGAACGGGAAGATCGGTCCGCAGGGGCAACAGATTGACGTCTTGTGACTTGCTGTTACCCAACATGTCTCGATGGCTGTACAACCATGATCCGGCCGAATGGGAATACACCACATGGATGCCACTTGGGCGAAGATATGCCTCTCGCCCACATCCATCACGCCCCTGTTGTAGAGACATTGCCATGCAAGGCCGGGAAGCGGTTGATGTAAAGCGTACACATCTTGACTTGGCAAAGACATGCCGCGGGAGAATGCAGTGCAGCAGGGAAGCAAGTTATAACCCCCCTGCTTTCGAATCGGTGAGCCAGACCGACAATTGTGTATGTGGGCTTCCACGCACTGGGAGTCTCCGACACGCAACAAGAGCGGACGGAACTATACGACTCGTCTCGTAGCTAACGTCTTCCCAAGCCTCTGGGAACGATACCCGGTTGGAGGGAGCACAAGGGAGGAAGAGTAGCAGTTGCCCAAAGAGGCGTCCCGATGAGGTGCGAGTTCCATGCCCTAGGTCCCAGACTAGGATTCTGGCTCGAGGGTGACGGCCCAGCGTGGCCGGCGATGATCTGCTTGGGTCTCGAATGGCTGGGTGATACAACGCCGGACTCAGCTACGCGCACCCAGGTTCAACGCCCGTCCTACTCGCGACATTTAGCCAATCCGCGAGGAAGAATTCCCTCCTTCTCTGCGGGCCAAGCCCCCTCCCCGGTCGAGGGAGACGGGAAATAGGGGAGGGGGTCGTGCCACACTTTCTCGGGAAGCAATTGCTGCTGCGCTGCGGGAAGACCCGGTTCATGAGGAAGGCGAGATAACGTCTGTAGTGAGCCCGTGAGATTTGACCCAGTCCCATGCGCGGTGCGGTCATGATTTTTCGGGGACGGGCCGGAGGAGCTCGGCCGATTGGGTGGTCCTCATGGAGACTGCAACATCCCCCCCCGGCCGCTGGTCTCGCCGCAGCGAGACAGGGCCCTTTACCTCTCTTCCTTGGTCTGACAGGTAAATAGCAACTGGCATGCTTTCACGGTGCATACCGTAGAGGGTATACAAGCAGGGTACTTGTTGCGGGGGTACATTGGGGCCTACAAGGGGTCAGATCCTTCTGAAGAGCGAACAAATAGGCACTAATTACACGCCAAACAAGACGAGATACGCGCTAGGTTTCCTGGGTTAGAGGACGATTGGTTGTGACCTCGTTCACCGGCCCCGCGGGCGAGATATGAGCTGTCATCGGAGCCAGTGACCAAATGCTCCGATGACAATACTACGATTCGGCGCTCGGAGTAAGCCGAAAGAAAAAGAGAAAAAAAGAGAGAACCGATGTTAGGACAAAGCAATTGAGAATCATCAGCACCAAGCAGACGACGTGTCGTGGTAAGTGGCAAGGAAGTCGAAAGCGGCGTAAAGCCCCTCCTCAAGGTTCGTGGGGGTAAATACGACGTAGCCTCTCCAGTCCAGAAGGCGGCCGAAAGAGGAGTGCGCATCTCGATAGTTGGAATGGTTCGGACGAATGGTAGGCGAGGTTGGTTGTTGTACTCGACTTGGGAAACCATCAGCTCTTTTCTGTGTTCGGGAAGCAAAAGGCAGAGAATGGGACGTTGGTCTTTCACGGCGAGGTGTGGATCAGGATGGGGGAGGGAGACACACCACCACCACCGCCGTGAAGGCAAGCTCATACCTGGTAGGTAGTACCTAGTACCTAGCTAGCTTCAACGGGTGGTCGCCCTCTCTTCGCCCAGTTCAACAGTGCCCATCGCAAAACTCAAGACCGGCCCCACGTGCCCGCCGCCTGCCACGACCGGAAACCCCTGCATCGCCTCAGCCTTGCGCTCACCCGCCTGTGAGAACAGCTCGTCAGCTTTGGGTGCGCTGAAGCTTCCCCAGGAAAGACGCCCCCCTCCAAAAAAAAAAAAAAAAAACAGTCAGCCTCGCCACCAGGAACCATCGCCGGCAACAACCAAGAATACCCAATTAACGACCAGCTTTGTCCCTTTTGCCAAGAACGTTCAATTTCAATTCGCGGACGGTGTCACTGGTAAGCCATGGATTGTCCGACGTAGCTACACATCGCTGACAAGGAAACTGCATGGCTAAGCCAGCTTTCGACCACGCACCCGGCCTCGCGCGCATTCATCCGCTCCTGCGCCCATCGATCCGCTCCGGCAGTTGAGCGAGACGTTTCTCTTCGACGGAACCCCTCAGAGAAGCAGCCAGCAAACGTCAGGGGGGAAAGGCCTGTCAGACAGTCGCTTCACCTGAGGATACACGAGACCCCCTGGCCCAGGCGCGCCTCGAGGTCGCTGCTACACATACACACTCCATCCCCCAGATCCATCAACATGTCAAACCAAACACCTTCAACCCCCGTCAAGGTACCGCCCTCAGCCGCCAATCACTCAGCAGCGACCCTGGACCCCGAGCTCCGGTCACAAATCAACACATTACTACTCAAGGACGGTCACGTCACCAAGTAGGCGATCCGCCCCCCCCTCCCCCCTCCCCCCCTCGCCCGTGGTCTGAACCCAGTGAGACTAACATTTCCCTTCCCTCCTCCTTCCAGGATCCAAGAACAGCTCCTCCACTCCCTCCACGCAAACCAAGCAAATTGGCCGACCCTGATCCAGAATCACGCCCTCAACCTCCTGCGCACGGGCGAGGCCACAACCTTCCCAGACCTCCTCCGCCGTGTTCTTGACGACGTCCGCCAGGACACACTCAGCCCCTCGGCATCAAACACCTCCCCCTCGACGTCCAAGACGAACGGCACAACCGGTTCAGACAAGGACAAGGATAAGGACAAGAAGAGCAACGGCACCACAAGCTCCACACCAGCGGCCGATTCCAACGGGCAGACAAGCCTCGCTATCCCTGCAGCCGTGATCGCTGAAGCCATCAAGGTCACGCAAGAAAGCCTAGAGGCCGTCTGTGAGATTGACAGTGCGGGTAACTAGGGAGACATCTCTTTTTGGCGGCGTGGTGTAGGGACGGGGCGTAGAGAAAGGGAGGCTTTGAAAAAGGGGACAGTCCTGGGAACAGAATGGTTACTGGCCACGTCCTGACGGGCCGGCCTCAAAGGGAAGTCCACTGCCACTAGTACAGTGAGCGAGAGGAGCAAGGCAAGGCATGGCTGTGCGGGAGGCACAGAGCCAGCTTTGGTCATGAGAAGCAAGCTTTAATGTCAATCTGGAATAGTTTCGATGACACTACATACGTGTGTGTACGTACAAATTTGGACTGAGTACGTGTGGAACGGCCTTCCTTTGTTTTGGGAAGAGCATACGATATCAGCCTTCTAGAAATTGGTCCGCTATGAGCAATAAGCAGCACACCGGCCGGCCCAGAGATCACAAAAAATAATCCTGATTTCCTTACTGTCGCATCACGGTCACATCAACCACCTTCATCTGGCGATTGCCTTTTTATCCCCCCCTACCCAACTTGTTCGAGGACGTTTCTCAAACAATCAACGATACAAGGTAGCCACAGTCGACGCTCAACACCAACATATCTGCGAGGAACCAATGTCACATCATGCATAGACCGAGACGACTCTTAGGTGATCAACTATCATAGAAAAACTGCCTGTCTACCAACTCCGTCCGCCTCCAGATTTCCGGCGATAGGCACGAATTTCCGTGACCCGGCCCACCATCTGTACGCATGATGACGCAGATGCATCGGAGAGCAAAAGGAAAAACTAGAATACAACGAAGGCGTGCCCTGTATCAACTGGCATCTGGCCCACCCTTTAGTCGTAAAGGTCATCATCGTTACCAGCATCGCCGAAGCTGTTGGCAGCTTCGTTGGCAGCGCCCTCGCCCTCGGGGAACTTGAAGTACGCTCCAGGTCCAGCGTTCTTCATCTGCTGAGCAAAAGCCTCGTACCGGCGGATTTCGACGTCGCTGACGGAGCGGCGGGCCATCTGCATGGCCTCCTCGAAGTGGCGCTTGGTGAGCTCGGGCACGGGGTCCTCCTCGTCCTCATCCATGGCCTCTTCACCAGCGGCCTCGCGAGCCTTGGTCTTCTGAATGTCGGCAGTAATAGCCTCCTTGATGGCGAGCTTGACAGCACGCTGGGTGATGAAACCAAGATCGGCACCGGAGAAGCCGTGGGTCTTGGAGGCAATGAAGTCAATGTCGACGTCAGCAGCAACGGGAGTCTTGCGGAGCTGAGCCTTGAGGATACCAGCACGGGCGGGCTGGTCGGGCAGGGGGACATAGATGAGGGAGTCCAAGCGGCCAGGACGGCACAAGGCAGGGTCAAGCTGCTCGGGTCTGTTGGTCGCACCAATAACGAAGACGTTCTTCTTCGAAGTCATACCATCCATCTCTATAATCGGGTTAGCTTGTGCTTACTGGCAATGTCAATATGTGAGAACCTTACCAGTGAGAAGCTGGTTGACAACACGGTCGGAAGCACCACCAGCGTCGCCCATAGATCCACCACGAGCCTTGGCAATAGAGTCCAACTCATCGAGGAAGACGATGCAAGGAGCGGCAGCACGAGCCTTGTCAAAGATGTCGCGGATGTTGCTTTCAGACTCACCGAACCACATGCTGAGAAGCTCGGGTCCCTTGACAGAGATGAAGTTGGCAGAGCATTCGTTGGCGACGGCCTTTGCCAACATCGTCTTACCAGTACCGGGGGGTCCGTAGAACAGGACACCACGGGACGGAGAAAGACCGAACTTGAGGAACTTCTCGGGGTGGTCGACGGGGTACTGAACGCTCTCTTGCAACTCGGCCTTGACGGTTTCGAGGCCACCAATATCCTCCCAGCGAACGTTGGGCACCTCAACAACGGCAACCTCGCGCAGAGCTGAGGGGTTAGAAACGCCGAGGGCGAAGCGGAAGTTCTCCATAGTGACACCAAGAGAGTCAAGGACCTCGGCGTCAATGGTGTCCTCGTCGAGGTCGATGAGGTCCATCTTCTCACGAATCTGCTGCATGGCGGCCTCGGAGCAGAGGGCAGCGATATCGGAACCCACGTAGCCGTGGGTCTCGGCAGCAATCTGCTCCAGGTCGACATCGTCACCAAGCTTCATGTTCTTGGTATGGATCTGAAGAACCTCAAGACGGCCGGTAGGGTCGGGGATACCAATGTCGACCTCACGGTCGAAACGACCGAAACGACGCAGAGCAGGGTCGATCGAGTTGGGACGGTTGGTGGCGGCCATGACAACAATGTTGGAGCGGGCCTTCATGCCGTCCATGAGAGTGAGAAGCTGAGAGACGACACGGCGCTCGACCTCACCGTTGGTCTTGTCACGCTTGGGTGCAATAGAGTCGATCTCGTCGATGAAAATAATGGCGGGAGAATTCTTCTCCGCCTCCTCAAAGGCCTTGCGCAAGTTCGACTCGGATTCACCGGCCATCTTGGACATGATCTCGGGGCCGTTGATCAGGAAGAAGAACGCACCCGTCTCGTTGGCGACAGCTCTTGCCATCAGCGTCTTACCGGTACCGGGGGGGCCGTACAAAAGCACACCACGAGGGGGCTTAATACCGATAGACTTGAAAAGCTGGGGATGACGCAGAGGAAGCTCAACCATCTCGCGGATCTGGGCCATCTGCTTTCTGCAGCCACCAATGTCGTCGTAGCCGACCTCATTCAGGTTGCCCTCCTCCTCGTCACGCTGAATGGGCTCGCCCTCGCAGTGGATGACCGTGTCTTGTGCGACGATACCGTATTCGGGGGGGTCAACCTCTACGACCTTGAACTCTACTTGTCTCATACCGCCGCGAACAATGAAGAGATCGCCCTGGCGGACGGGTCTGTAGGCCTCGCGGAAGTAGGGAGCAAGGAAAACGTCGAAGAGGGAGCCGGTGATACCCTCAACAGTGTCGGCAATGGGAAGGACAGCAATACGCTTGGCCTGTGGGGGAGTAAGCTGTCAATTCGGGGCAAGGTGCAGGTTTATGATTTGCACATACGTATTTGATGTCCGGACAGGGGTGGATGGTAATCATGTCACCATGCTTCACCCGCAAGTTGTGGCGAACGACTCTGTTGATGCGAGCGCTGCCATCGTCGAGCTCATCATCGGCAAGAACGATCAGAACGGTGTCCTTTCTCTTCTTGCCGCGCACGAGCACGGTGTCACCGCGGAAGAGCTGAAGAGCCTCCATGGTGTTCTCGGAAAGGGCAATGATGGAGTTGTCGTCGTTGACGGCATCGGTAACCCTGCTTCAGTTAGTGCCTGGAAGCTTGCCCCACGTCGTCCAGAGCTCACGTACATCAGCTGGTTGGGCTTCTTCTTCTTCTTCAGAATGGCGGTCGCGACATCATCTTGCTGTTTGCTTCATCAGTACTGCTGTCATTTGTCACCGGGTTCATAGAAGCTGAGGGAGCACAAACATCCTTGACATCGGCACCGGAGGCATCCCTGGTAGGTAGTGTCAGCGTCATTCGTGCCGGGTGGAAGGTACTACTCGAAACAGGAGCAGCGGGCGTCTACTCACGTCAGGTTGACCTTCTTCTTGTGTTCGGCGGGCTGATCCGACGGAGGCGCCATCTTGACTATGTGTTTCTGATGATTCGGGGATTCGTATGCGTTCAGATGATAAAGTGTTGGAGGTGGGATCGTCAGCGGTGGGGTTGAGCTGTCGATTCGCCTGTTTCCGTGGGATCAGGAAAACGGGAGGAAGAACGACGGTAGTTGAATTTTATATCCCTTTCCTTGGAGATGTGTATGGGAAAAGGAAAAAAGTAATTCGTGGTTTACGGGGATAAAAGGTGGGAGGTTTGGAGATGGGAAGCTTTGTTTCGGAGAACAAGCAGGTGAGGTGCTGTACTAGTAAAGGCCAGCCAGCAAGAGGTGGTGACGGGAGGCGGCAATCACTGGGAAGCGGTCCCTGGACGACCAATGAAATCATACAGTGGGGCGGATTAAGTGGCCTCCGGCGGCTTCGGACAGCTTAGGTAAGGCAGCGCTCCAGGGGTCGAGTATGGCCCTAGCTCTATGATTCAGGTGCCGTCAGGGCAGTGGAAAGTATTCGAAGCTTCCACTTGGTCAGGTTGCTGACCTTGAGGGCCAAGTAGGCAGCCTTTGGCCGCGCACTCACTCAGCGTGTCGGTGTCGTCGCACGCACGTCCTCCACCTAGGTAGTCCAAGTGTGCGCCAAGCTACCTACCTGGCACCTACCCACCTACCGAACTCCATTGCACGCCACTTTGCTTTTCGGTATTTTCTTATCGTCTTTTGGAATTAGTGAGCTTTGCCGATACGGGGATTCTAATCCACACCTTGGGCTCACCGCAATAACCTCACCACATACCATGGCGTCTCTCCCCTTCTTTCCTGCTGAGTTTTGCCACCTGAGGAGGTCCTAGGTGGGATCGTTGCTTATGGATCAAACCTTAGCTAGAATGCACGCGATGCCCACCCGGCAAACAGAGAGAGACACGGACGGAACGAGCGAGCGACGTTCTTTGTTATTCTGCAACAAATCATCCAAAGAAGCGGCAAATCCGACATCTGGTTCAGGCGCTTCAAGATTCAGCTCCTCCGCCCTCAGAAAACTTGCCATCCCGGCAACTCCCGTCACCGAAACAGGCGATGCATGCGGCGGCAAAAGGTCGACGACTGGAATTTCTGCCTACTGCAAGCAAACGGGCCCTTCCCTCCTCCCAACGCACATCCACTCTTTGCAGACACCCCTGTAGACGAGTCATCCGGCGGCGGCCATCTTGCCTCCGGATAAACCCTCTAGCCACGCCTCCAATCAAACAGCAAAGGTACGGTTGTCCATTGCCTCCTGCTTGGAAAGCGGCCACGTTGCTATCTTCTGCCGCCACCCAAGGTGCCTCGTGCTGTTGACCGAGTGGTCGAACACCGGGACTGCGGCCCCGTGTCGCATGGTCGGGACGAGGTTGATATGGTGCTCCAGCAGTCTGAGCCCGAGGATGCCGACCCCGGAGCGGGGGCTGCCGGTTGCGATTCGCCCGTAGCGGTCATTGGCGTGCAGAAACGCCTCAGACAACCACGAGAGCGCCAGGGGGTTGTTGTCGTGGCGAGCCAAGCTGTGATTGTGGCTCGACGAGTCGGTCCGTCTGCGCTTGTCGTCAGTGCTTGACTTTCAATCCGTGCCAGGCGCTACCCATGTGAGGTCGGGGCGGATGGTTGAGCTTACGTACCTGTTAGCCTGGCCCGCGGCGTCGGAGCCAACCTCCACAATGTCGGATTTGGCGCTCATCTGAAGTGAGATTCCGGCGGTCTTTTCGGTGTCACGGAACGGACTGAGCTGCCGGCGTATAGTGAAATCGTCTTCGGCTTTTCGCTTGATGAATATTGAGAAGGAGCAGGTGCGATTCTCGCGTAGCTGGACACGCCTAACGGTGAAGATCCAGTGCCACGACCACCCCAAGTTCAATTAATCAAAGTGACCGCGAAGTCCTCTTATAACGTAGCACCCGGACCACACCCCAGTGCTCTCCCGTTGGCCTCCCGTTTGGCTCTGTTCATCGTCCCAGACATCCGGCACTATCTCTTTAAGATGTAGCAGGTTGCTGCAGGCACATGCAGCCCAACTGGGCTCTGCTGCATATTTGGGGGCTATTGGCTGTGCAAGGCCAAGCACTTCGAGCAGCCAGCAGGGGAGTCAGCCTGGTCTTACGGGGGAGCTTGTCGGTCATGCCTGCTGCTTCTTTGAGATACGAGTAACTCCTCTTCTGAAACACATCTCTTTGGTCGTCTCAGCTTCCCGATTTGAATATTTGCTTCCGTCATTTTCTATGGGTTTTTCTGCCAATACTACCCCCTTGGACAGCAAATTGTTTGCAAAACTATGTGGGACGGGATCACTTCCCAAAGGTAGCTTTGAAAAAGGTAGCACAAACAGTCAAATTCAACTGGGCCTCCATCCTCGAAACTTGAAGCCCGATTTGGAAAGAGCGAACTGGGATAAGTAGCACCATGCCGGTGTGGGTGTGTGTCCCTCTGCCTCAGCTGCAGCCTGGCCATCCCTCGCAGACAGGAGCCCAGAAACTCCTTAGGATGCTGCGCAGGCACACAGTATCTTGGCTTCCCAGACAACGACATTCTACACAGCCCCTCTCTCTGACCAGACTCGTCGAGAAGCCCTGTCGTCACCAAGATGGCTATCAACTTGCCCATCAATATACGACCCTGGCAGTCTCTCCGTCACTCACGCATGCCCGTGAATCCTGGGTTATTGTTTTTTGGCCCCCGAGTCGGAACAGGCAATGTGATTGATGCTGCAGCTTCTGGTTGACAGGCAAATAATGGCTGCCCAGCTCCTCTCTCATCTCTCATTACGGAAGATCAATACTGTGCTCTACTGACACACAGCTGTCCACGAATGACATGCATGAGAGCAAGCGGGAACTTCACAGCCTCGTCAAGCCTTTCCCCATCTGCCGTTCACCTGGTCCCGTTCAGGCCTGCCTAGGCAAACGCTGTGCAGCTCTTCGGCCGTCAGCACTTACACAAACTGTTGATGCTGTGCTGCAGGTTCCGGCCCCCAATCGCTACGTCAACCCCATCTCTTGTTCCGCCTAGACTGGCCCCGAGGATGGGAGATAGGAACAGACTGCAAGTGCTTCCGGCTGCCTCACCCGGTTGTCATTCATTTGCTCTGGCGACTCTCAGGGTCACTGCCTTCTCTTGTTAATGCCAGGAGAACCGTCCTTATGGACCACAAGCCGTGACGTTTCAAGATTTGCGGTGATAGGAAAGTTTGAGTCGTGCTTGGTGATAGACGCTATGGCTAAGATATTGTACTAAATGATGATCGCCATCCCTGGGATGCAAAGACAGACGATTAGGCATAAACTCCTGTTCCCCATATGCCGTCTTCCGATTGTTGAGCGACAAGAACGCCTAAGTGATGCAGTAGAAATAAAACCTCGCTTTTCTCTTTTCGCCCGTTTCCCAAACCAACTCCGTTTTTGCTCCTTTTCTTTTCCCGGGCGCCTATTTCCATCATGGTGAACGATTCTTAGTCCTGTGAGTGCGCCGGTTGGTATCGCATCTGCAGAACCCATTTATCATCAAAATCGATACCTCTTCTGATCTTGGTTCCGGCCTTCTTCCACACCGTAGCGCCAAGACCCATGTCAGCAATAAACAACTTCCAGTCTTCCTCCTCGGCAGCGGCGGTCTCGGCGCCAGTAGGATCCGAGTCCGAAACAGGAGCCATTGCTTCAAGCAGTCCCTTCTTCGGGGCGCCCATCGCCACCACGTAACGAGGCTTTACGTAGAGACGACCACCATCGATAATGCTGACTTTTCCGGTCGATGGGTCGATACCAGTTGGCACATCGACTGCGAGAACGAAGGCCTCGTTACGGTTGGCCCATTCTATCAATTCATACACGGTAGCTTGGTCCCCGGTCCGCAGCTCTTCGAATGAAATCGCCAAGCCCAGGAGAGCATCTATGATGAGGGACACTGATGTCGCTGGGGTTGAGGCTGTCTTTCGGAGCTGTTCGAATAGTTCGAGCTTATTGTGCACGCGGCCCCCAAAGTTCCGGAAGATTCTGATTTGTTGTCGCATGTCTTCCAGCAAGTCACGCTCGCGCTCGATGCCGACGACGCACACGAGTATATTGAGGCCCTTGTTCCGCAGATGCCGGGCTGCTGAGATGGCTCTTATGCCGGACTTGTTGTTGCCGGCGAGAATAACGATTGTAGCAGACGCCGCCAAGCTGTTGTTTTGAGCATTGGCGCCACCAGTGCCAAACCGGACCTGTATCGCGGGGTCTTCAAGCGCCCGCAGTGTTACTTCAGCGAGACCTCGGCCTGCATTCTCGGCCATCATGTCTTCCGTGAGTCCAATCTCATTGGCCGCAATGTTCTCCAGGTTGAGCATCTGAAGAGCCGAAACGGTTTCAAGGCGTCGGTTTGACGGCACAAGATAGAAGCCTGGCTGCGTAATGTGCTGCATGTGGTTAGCACCCATGATGCTACGTGGGCTATCTTGAGAACGAAGCAACACTTGAGGCTGTCTTTCCGGACGTACGTTGGAGTTGACGCGATTCAGGGGCTGGCTGTTGAGTTGCGCACTTGCCTTCCGCGACTGCGATCTCTTAGTCGCCCCTGATTTGCTGTCCGCCCTACGGCTACTCTGCGCACTCCGGACGTCACGCCCGCTCAGTCGATCAACTCCGTTGGCGGCATCGTCAGCCTCGCTGTTCCAGAAGTCCTGATGCGCGTTTGATGACACAGATGGCATCTCGAGCACATTCTCCGAGTAGTGAAAGTTTTTGCCTCCGGCAGTTCCAGGCTTGGGTCGGCGGTTGTGCGATACCAAGCGGTCTGCCTCGTCGATCAGATCTTCCTTACGCATCTGGTCGAAGATGGTGCGCTTGTCGAACTTGGCTAGGTTGTTCTCAAAGTCGAACTCGGCCATCTCTTCTGTGACATCTTCAGAAGCCCAGCCATTCTCAGGAAGGTCCTTCTTCCCCTTAATGCCGCGCTTCAACGAGTTGAAGGGCTGAAATGAGGGCGAGCTCTGCAGCATGGGCGTTTGTCTCCACCCCTTCCCACGGGTTGCTGCGTTGCCGCGCATCGGAGTGATTTCCGGGATGGTTTCGTCTGCCGTGCTATTCCGTGGAGCTCGTTGCTTCTCTCGCCGCCGGTTCTTCTTCTTTTGCGGCTGGCCCTGGACCTCGTGGGCGTCCTGCGGCACTCCGCTGCTCTCCGCCGCATATTGCCTCGCAGTAGGGGTATGCTCCTCCACGTCCAATTCCTGCAAAGTCTCGCTAAGACTCACTACATCGTCTCGAGAGCCCCCCATGAGGTGCACAGCAGAGAGAACCCCCGGCTGCCCAGGCCGTGGATCCTTGGTTTCGGCAGCAGTGGTCTGAGGCATAACTTCTGGTAGAGTCTGCTTCTCGCTTCCGCTTCTCATATCGGAGCCAGGGCGATTTCCCATACTCAGGATCGCAGGATCCGTGAAGGCCGGTTGCGCGGGTTGGGTGATGACGGGAGCGGGAACGGGACTAAGACCTGGCGCAGTAAAGGTGTTGGGCGCGGCCTCCTCCTTGAATTCTGAAAGTTCGAGGATGTTGGCAGCATCAATGACGACTCTGGGCATCCAGTGGTTCGTTCCAAGGGTAAAGACTGCAAGGGCGCATGTTAGCAAGGAGCTGGACATCAAGCGGAACTGTTAGGGACGTACCGTTGCTGAGCGTGAGGCTGTTGCCAGCCTGTATGGCGCTCACGGTGCCCTTCAGCATCGTTCCGGAAGGCTGCCTTAGCGTCACCATCATTTGCAAGCCGATGAACTCCATGGTGCCGGGTGCTTCACAACGCCTGGATGCCAAGTCGTTGACGGGATCGGGATGCACCGCGATAGATGCGTTGTGGGTCGTGCAGACAGAGCTGGTGGTGGGAATTGGGTTCGCTTAAAGCTCTGGAAATATCGCAGGTCGCCAAGAAAGGCCCCTATGTAGATAAGGCGGTGGATATATGTTGGCGGAGGGCGTTGGTGAGGTTGGCGTCGAGAGGGATTTGTGCGTCGACCCTGATCTTAACGAAGGAACCAGTCCCAGACAGCTTCCTTCACCCAAATCTCCCCCTCGGACGGATTCACTAGCTGGGTTGGTTTAGGTTCCCTTAACTTTTCCCCCAATCCTTATCGATAAGGCATGCACAGGGGAAGGTAAGCGCAGGGCAACAAGTGCAGGTCCTAGTTAAAAGGTCACGCGGATGTCGTCTGGTGGCGGGTAGCTACTGCCCGAATGCTGCGCCGAAAGAAGAGACGAACGTCAACGACGCAAGCTTCCTGGGCGAGAACGCCAAGAAGGAACAACCTAAGGCACCTGCTGTGCAACCACCATTTCCCAGGGAAGGAAAAAAAATGCTTGAAGACATGTCAAGCTGCAGCTTCACAGAGGTACCTGAGGTACACACACTACCTACCTACCTAACTTGACACCGCCGCCTTTGTCCGTACAATGACTACCTACCTAGGTACGCAGGTCCACGTTTAGTGTAGGTTTGATAGTAGCCAGATGAATTATGACCCAAAATATTACGCAAACCATCACCAGGGAATGCCTCGACCCAGCTTATCTTCCTCTCGCCACATTCAGCATTGGGGAAGAAAAAAAGGTCCCGTAACAACAAATCCTGCCTGTATCAGTCAGTCACGGCCATGGAATGTCTTCTACCATCTGCCGTGTCTCATTCGTTCGCTATAAGAGCAGAGGTATTCCCTTATCTACCATGTGAGCGCCCCTAATGGTAACCAGAGCGTCCAAGTTCGACGCTATCCATGTCCAGACGACCCATGTATACCACAAAATGAACCCCATTCCGATCCTCTCTGGGTAGCTTGAGCCGAAAACCTGCCTACGGTGGCTACCCTTCTGAACGCCATATTACGTTACTCCCAAAGTCTTTTCGTATCCTCGAGTTCAATAGCCTCCGTAGCTCGCCATCGCCTCCTCTTCGTCGTCCAGGTCAATGACCTCGACCCCTCTTCTGACGAAGGATTGAGACCTCGCATTGGCGGCAGATGTGCTCTTGGCAGGCTTCGTATCTTCTTCCTTGTGCAAAAAGTCGGCCATACTAGGAGGTTTCTTCGAGACAGCCTGCTCAGCGCTGTAGAGTTTGTTGTAGAACCCTACGACTCGGGGGTGGGCCATGACCTTATCCTTCTGGAAGCGAAGTACCTGCAGACCCTGTTGACTGGTTGCTCGACTGAGTGCCACGTATGCCTGGCCTTTCTCGAATACCTTGCCAAGGTCGACCTTGACTCTTTCCAAAGTTTGTCCTTGGGCCTTGTGGATCGACAATGCCCACGCGAGGATGAGGGGAAGCTGGCTTCGGCTAGCCTGCACTTCGCCCGTTGGTGTTTCACTCTTCCAATCCTCTGGAACGCACAAGATGGTACGAGTCGACCCGTCCGCTGCAGCGAATTCTACCACGGGGAATTCGGTCGTCCCTTTGGTCGCCTCTTCGACCTCTCTGCTGAAGGCCTTGATCTTGCGTTTGAGGTTCCCTTCCATGTCCATGTCACCATCGGACCCGTAATCCGTCATATGCCAAGACTCGAAACTGGCCTCGCTCATGAACCGCGTCACCTTCCCGAGCGAACCGTTGACAAGAGTGTCATCCATGTTCTTGATCAACATAACCTGCGCGCCGACCTTCAGATCAATGGACTTGGGTGCCATCATATTCTGGAGCAGTTTGTCACGGATTTGAGGGTCCCCGGTATCGGCAGCGTCAAAACGGTACGTTTTCCCGGGCAGATTGCGTAGGCGGCTCAGGTTAGCGTTGTCGACCTCGTATCTTGTAGGGAATAACTCGGTCACTTCCAGTCCATCATCACTGACGATAGGTCTGGTCAGTTTTCTGAAAGCCTCAACCGTCTCCTCGCTGATTCTTCCAAGACGCATCTCATTGAGCATATTGGCGAAGACTATACGCTGTTTAGCTGCCACGACAGAAGCACTTTGATAACGCACATGCAAACGTACCTGGATCTCTCTGTCGGAACACTTGCGTCAAGCCAATTGTGTGCTCAATGGCCGTGTTCCACGTCGCAGCTTCAAAAGCGAATTTGGATTCCCTGCTCTTGTCGCCGTCGGGTACTGGAGGTAGCTGAAAAAAGTCGCCCGTAATTACGAGCTGGATACCACCCCAGGCTTTGCCGTTATTCCTGATGGTTCTGCCAATTTGCGAGAGTTTGTCAAAGAGGTCCCCGTCGACCATGGATACCTCATCAATGATGAGCGTCTTGGTCCGAAGCCAGCGGTTCTTGGCCTTGGGGTTCCGTCGGATCTTCTTGACCAACGTCGGAACATCTTCCTTCCCAAGGCCAATTCCAGCGAAGCTATGCAACGTCTGGCCTCCGATGTTACAAGCTGCGAGGCCAGTTGATGCTGTAACTGCTAGCCTCTCCGGATCTCGTGCCCACTTCTTCTTCAGCTCGGCAATGATTGACCGCATCAGAACTGATTTTCCGGTTCCTGCTGGGCCTGTGAAGAAGACGCTCTGGCCTTTGTCGACTACAAGACTCTGAACGTGTTTTTGCTCTTTGGTCAGGGCAATCGCCGATGCCTTGGGCCTTGGCAGGTTGCTCTGTGTAACCTCTTGCCGAATCTCGTCTGTGCTCCATTCCTCGCTGGTCGTAGCTTTTTTGGACTTGGTTTTCAAATGTTTTTTCTGCTCTTTGAGAGTACTAGCGGTCATGTTCCAAGTCTCCTTCTTCTTTGGAGCAGGCGTAACGCTCCCGGGAGCCCATCGAGCCATTTCAGGCTTGTCTTCCGGCAATGGGGCATGTTCTTTTTCTTCTTTGAAGCTCCAGTTCTTTGGTAGCCTGCGCTTCTTGGGTTGCGGGGCCACTAGAGGCTGTGCATTTTCTGGGGAGTCGCGCTTGAGTGAGCTTCCGGCAGAGGTCGTGCGAGACAGGGGGTGAACGAAGTGGGAGGCGGGAGATGAGGACCAGGGTAGAGTCTGGGACGAAGGTGTTTCATTCGGCGGCTCAGGTGCCTTGGTTGCCGTGGCTGGGGGCTTGGGAAGCAAAGGCAGAGCCGACGGTGCTTCATAATCGAGGTCTATTTGGTCGTCGTCGCTAAAGTCATCCTCAGCAAAATAAACGGCAGGTTTTGCGTTGGTTGTCTGGTTTTGGCTGAGCAGGCTGGTATCAGGCTCGTCTCGAAAAGAGTCGGATTTAGAGTACAGAGAGGCAAGAGATCTGCCGTTGGGAGCGGAAACTCGGTCTAGGGCAGATCGGTTGCTGTTTACAAAGTGTGTGACACTGGTATTCCTGCCAGTTGGAGGCCTTGTTGAGTTGTAGGGTATTGTTGGCGCGCTCCTCGCCGATACGGGGCCACTTGAGGCCGACTGGCTCGTCATCTTGAATTGGTCTTTGATGTTCCCATTCTGGGTGGCGCTAGGGCTGCTCGAGGGGAAAAGTTGCTTGGCCAGGTCGTTCTTGGGAGGTGGCGCGTTGGCCATGTATGTCTTGTTCGCCTTGGCCAACATTGGATCTGGATTGAGATCTAGATCCAAATTGGGGGCGGCGAGGTGGGCATGAGCGATGAGGATTGCTCTATGGGTGATTCGGCGTAGTATCGGCGAGGATCGGATAGGGAAGAGGCTGGTGATTCCAGCCGTCATCCAAGGAACTGGCTTGTTGGCATTCGTCGTGAAATGTCGTAGGTGGAGCGGGCGTGGTTCCCTTATCGTATACTGCCGAGGAAGGAAGGATTCGACTGCAACCCGTGTTGCTGCTGTGTAGGCAAAGATAATCTCAAGTGTGGTCGGGTGGCGCGTCCCAGCGCGTTGAGGTGCACCTTTCGCGCCAAAGGTTGGGAGGGGCAATTGGCAAATCCAGCTGAGTCATCTATCACATCCTCTATGCGTGATCAGGTGCTCTGTGCAAGCGTTCCAGGGTAATACCTACCTGCCCAGGCGAATTGTTTATCGCCAATGCAAATGAAGCACGGACGTGCGTGCTTGAGTTTCTTCGGCACTCCACTCCATCACATATCAACTTCAAATCCAAACGACGGGCTTCCTGTCTTTCGCTTTACTGCCGAGGGACACGCATTTCAAACCCAGAGACTTCTTCCATTTCCCGTCTGATGAGCATAGCTAGACTTCCCGGTTGAACCAATGACAGTCAGCCCAGCCATCGTCATTGGCTGCCATTCGCCCACGTTTGCCAAGCAGACTCCTCCCTTTTGCATGCGGTCCTACGCCTCGCTGCAATGTCGTCGAGTCGTCTGGAGCTCCGTACGCCTCACGTCGGGCATACACGGTATATGCAGTCGTCCCTCACAGCTTCTATTAGGCACGAAGCGCAAGTAGACCCCGCCTGTCTGCGATTACTTATGAGAGCCCATATCTTCCATGTTCCTGGAGTTGTGCTACCTTGGCGTCTCTGCATCGGCTCGTTCTTTTTTTCACAGTACCTATGCGCGGACAAATGACATGTTGTACAAGAACCTGCTTCTTCGGCTCTGATCCTTCAACATGAGACCAAAGCTTACACAAAACGCATTGGCAACCAGATTGTTTATTCAGAGGTAATGTATTGACATGGTTGATGACGTTATTGCTAACCAAAGACCTGCTTCGCCACCGATAACATTCTCGAGTTACAACACGAAGAGGAAAGATCATGTACGGCACACTATACTAGTTATATCTTACTCGAGCGAAGGCTTCCTTCCGCCCAGCTCGTCCAAGAGGTTCAAAAGGATTCTCAGGTAGTATCCGCGCTCCACGCTCCTGCCGCCTCATGTATCTCCGAGCTTCCATCTCCTCGAATGTTTCTTCCGGACCTTCTCGGAAAAGAGCTCCCTTATCCAGTGAAGAACGACAGAATCTTGTTTCCAAACACCGACGATTGTGCGCGTCAGCCTCTCTCTTCTCAGCAGCCAACTCCTTTTCCCTTTCAAGCCTCATCTCGTCGAGAATTCGCAACCTTCCCACGCCATTCAAATCATCCTCATGTCTTTGACGAACGACTTCTTCTGAATCAACAACACGGAAGCTAGGACGTCTATGGATCACCCGAGGCGGCAACGTGCTCTGGCGACGAAGACCGAGATCATTGAACAGCTCGAGATCGTCCAGCTCATGACCGTGCGCTCTTTCCGCTATCCGCCGGGGCTGAAGGGTTTCGTACTCAAGACGGTTGACAGCGCCAGGCATTGGTGAAGGCGCCAGTGGTGGCGGGACCGGCATCAAACCTCCCCGCGGCGTGTCGCTGTCGAGAATGTAATGCTCGTTGTCTTTGGTGTGATGACGAGATGGGACACCGTAATCCTCGGGGCGGTCGTGATAGCGACGACGGTCGTGGCTGTGGCTGCGGCTACGGTTTCTGCCACGGCTGCGGCCGCGACTGCGACGGCGACGGCGGCCGTGTCTACCGGAATCTGAGGACCCAGTTACAGACGACTCTGGCGTCAGCTCCGAATCGCTGAAGCTGTCATCCGTGTATGAACTCCGAGAACTCCTCGAATCTTGTGAGGAGACAGTGTACACTTTGGGTTTATTCCCCCTCCTCGGATCGTTCTCAATAACGTGGATCTTGGGCCCTTTGCCGCCAGCCGGCTGTTTTGGATTGGATGCAGGAGGGAGTTGGTGACGATTTTGCTGTTGATACGGCGGAGGACGTGGCATCGGCGGCTGCATCATGCGCCGTTCCAGATCTGCGTGTTGCTGTCGCATCGTGTTATAGCGATGTTGCTCTGCCAACAACTGCTGAGCCTGCTCATTTTGTCGCTGCTGATCTTCTAGTTTCCGTTTATGTTCGGCGTCTCTTTTGCGTTCTTTCAGAATAGCTGTGGCATCCTCTCCGTCGCGAGGCTCTCGTTTAAAATAGACCGTCAGTGCGATGGTTTCCAGCAAGTTTTTCTTCGACTTCTTTGTCTTCGACACAGTGACTTTTTTCGGCTCACGCCCCGCCATGTACTGACGGTATTCAACAGAGTCCTGGCTGAGCTTTCTGGTCTTGGAATCAATCTGCTGCAGAGTATAGCGGAACCTTTTGTCAAGATTGTGTGTTTCCAACTCGTTTTGGGCTTTCTCGATCTGACGTTGCTGTATCGCTGTAAGGTCCAGCTTTTTCTGCATGACGGATTTGCCCTCGTCGTTGAGCTGGCGGATGTTCCGAGTGATGGTTGGCTTGGAGAGGTCTCGAACCTCTGTCCGCGTCACGTTCTCCCAGGTCGGTTTAACGGGGTAGCCTTCATCGTCAATCTCATTTGCGTCGTTAACCTTTTCGAATCGATAGACGACATATTCAGATAGGGCTTCGCGCGCGTCGGCATCGGTCATACGCTCGCTGCGAAGGTCCGAACGTACAACAAGTCGCTTATGTCTGAGCTCTAATGGGATAACCTCGTTAGGGGGGGGGATCGGCATTGGTTGCGGCATTGGCTGCGGCATCACCACCGGGGCCACCACGGGAGCCGTCGGTCGTTGCATGATGCGATGAGGCGGAGCTGGTGCAGGAGCCCTAGGAGGTGGTGGAGGGGGCGGTGGGTGTGAGTTTCCTTGCGGTACCGATGCCCCTTGAGGGGGTCTTGGTGGACGAGGAGGGAGTTGGATGAAGGCGGCTTGGTTCATGTTAGCGAAGGGGCAGCGAAAGATCTTGAGCACGGATGATCTTTTTAGTGAAGTTAACAACAGGTAAGGATCGTTTTATAAGAATATCCCCCAAGGATAGTACTGCCTGTCAAGCTAAAGCGCAAAACCAGGAAGACGACAATTTTGCAGAACGACGCGTCCCGCTAACGAGAATCTGAGAGGGTTGTGCGTGGCCGCAACCCGAGACGTATATGGCCAAAGTGAGGCGAGCACAGTTCTTTTTGGGAGGGTGTATGAGACAAGGTGAGAAACAAGAGGGTGTGTTGTAGAAGCAGTCGTGTTGTCTTTTTGTCTTTGTTCCTGACGCCGGAACTCAGAATTTGACTCGGTCACGAGGACGGACTGGTCGACACTCACAGCCACAGTAACGCTTATCCCAACTGATTTCTCGAGGATATTGCAGACGCTATCGCCCAATGGCCTTCGGAACGAGCGCTTGAAATTCTGCCTATCGAGAAATGGAAACGGACAGGGGAATTTTAGGGGACACACCGAGAGAGGGTGCGATCTGTGTCATCGACGCAAAGAGGGAGCTGGCCTTCACCGCCAGAAATACGCAGCCTGCCTCCCATTACGCAACCTATCATCCAGCATGGCAAGCCACCACCGTCGCCGGTTGATACATCTTTCGCGAGGCAGCCATTTGCACCATCCTTGTCGTCTCGGTGAGATGGAGGGCATCGCCCAGCTAAGCGCCGCCTACGCCGCTGCTCACCGCCCGGCTCTCAAACGGCAATCTCCCTGGCTGTAACTCCAGCGAAAACCGTTTCCTGCTGGTGAAGGTCTCATGCCGGTCATCTGCCAGCTGTTTTAGGTCCGAGGCACTTCGAGATGGTCGAGTTCCTTGTAGCCGTGCAAGGTCCCAAACATAGACAGCACGACTTGGGTCAGCATGAGGTCGCCGTAACACCAGAGGCTAAGAGCAGCCGACTTCCAGGCTCTGCCGAACGCTTACCCCGCAACAGACTCCCGCGTCTTGCGTGAAATGACTTGACGGGCGGGAAGGAGGGTCGACCCGGACAGGTCAGGCGAACATTTTCTCAGAATGGTCCGCACACAGAACGAGGCAACCGACCTTTTGCCATCGGCATACAGATCCTCACCGAAACTACGCCGCAATTTGTTCGAGGTATGCGTGGAATCGCGTATTGTTCAGGGTGTCCAGCTGCTTGGGATGATCGACAAAGCAACGCAGCCTCACGCAATTTCGACAGTGCCCTGGCCCAATCGGGATTAGAATTCTTACACTTTCGCGGGTGTGCCGCCATCATCGACTCCAACTCGGCTCAACCACACGAATCCTTTCTCCTGTAGTGTCCAATTGGGAGGCAAACCGGGGTGTGCATCAAATGACCCGATAAGAATAGGCAGTATCATCAGCCTGCAGAATGAGGTTACTTGGCAGGACAACAACTGCTATAGCCAATCAAGTGAGCACGACACGATCGTACGGGCAAGAACATTGATTTTCCCCCTCGGTCATAGGATCCAAAATGCTACCTACGGACATCTGGGTATGTTGGTGTGTGGACAAATAAAAGGCGACTGCATTGGATCCGTCGTTCCAAGACACCAAGATTGCCCGTCATGGATATTCTGTGTTTTAGAGTCGGTGCCGTACTCGGCATCGTCAGGCGAACAGGGGTGTTGAAGGGGGGGGGGGGCTACAGTCTAGGTCGCTAGCCATATTGGAGTCCTTTCGAAAGCTTGTCGACGTCCCGTCTGACACGTCGATGGGAGGCCGCACAGATAAGAAGCTCACGCCGACTGTCACTGCGAAGTGCTGCCATACGACATGGCTGTTTCGTCATGTCTCGGTATTTCCTTTCCCTCTCAGAGGGTCGAGTTGAAAGCCTCCTTTGCTACAAGTATAGAGGTAGCCTGGATCGGACGAAATATTGAGACAGGAGTGCCATCTGGTCTCGGTTGTCATCGCAGAGCCGCACCTTAACTGACACTTATTTGGGCGATCTTGTAGCAGTTGGCAAGCACCAACCATGGAGGGCCCGACAGACTCGATTTCTCTTCTAGCTTATTTGCCGCCATCATTCACGAGACAGGGAATGCCTGTTCAAACAGCATGTCATCCAAGCTCCGAGGGTCTTTCGAGCGCCTAGACCATGACATGTCAACCGCTACACGACAATCATCATGCCCTGCCAGTCATCGTAGGCCCATCGACGTTACTCAACCCAGACTTCACGTTACACAGAGAATGTCTTGGTCTCTGTCCTAGGCTTCCCACTGCCAACAAAGCATACTGCCACGGCTCTCGTCTGCCAGGCAACGCTGAATATGCAGTAAATCGCCCGATAGGCGTTACAAGAGGCCTTTTGCTGCTCTCAGCTTCCTCTCTGCATGCATCCATCACAGAGCCGCCCGAGGCTAGAGGGCCTACCTTTCTCTCTCCCTGGTGCTTCTCATACGACTCATTGATCTAGAGGGTTTCCGTCTTGTCGCGGACATTTTGCCTTGCTCTACCGAGTCTATATCGTTCGGTTGTGTCACGGTCTATGACAGATTCATGGTCCCCCGCCGGATCCAGCGTCATCGTAGACCTGTATTGCGACCCAATGCTCAAAAGCCAGACAAGAGGCTGTTATTTGGCCTACAATCGGACGGGCCCCGGTTGGTGATCTTCGTTGACTAAATCAGAGCACCTAGAGCGTAACGATTAGTGTCTTCTCTTTGCACATCTCGAGCCTACTGTCTAACCTCCCACAGGTGCATGGCTCCTGGAGGGGGAGATATTTGGACGTGTTGGAGACCTGCAAGAAACAAATGGCTTTTGCCTTTTTCCACGCAGCAAGAAAAGCCCCTTTTCCGTGTCCATGTTCATCAAGGCTGGCCACACCGCTTCCGACAGAGCAGGCAAACCAAGCGAGACTAGAAGGATTTGCTGCACTTTGGGAGTTTGCCTTCTTTCTGTTCCGCCCCTCTTCTACACACGTCCGTCGAATGTGTAAGCTGCCTCGTTTCTTGGCTGGCACGGCTCGCGCATCATTGCAATTTGCACATCTCGTTGCACTTTTCTCTGCGTCCTCTCGCTCTTGGCTTTTGCGGTCAATGTATCTACGTGGTATTCGCGTATCGAGCATGCCGTCCGAAGCTTGTTTGTTGGGCTCTTGTACGTTTCACAAGGTCGTGGCAATGACTCTGTCGGCGTATTCCATCCGGTGAAACGACTGTGAGGTGTTGACGATCCGACAAGAGCCTGGAAGGTGAACATGGTTAGCCTGCCTTGCTTTGCTGGCTCGACACTTTGGCCTCGGCGGCCCCATCCAGGAATACTGCGTAGGGTTCGGTGGCATAGCTACGAAAGCCGCCTCGACATTATCTACTCCTCAGTCAGGAGACAAAACGCAGTAACCGACCCCTATAAAGCAATGCTTACCTACAATCAACTGGAAGCCCAGAAATTACGCATGGCTTCGGATATCACGATAATGAACAAGCTCTATGGACTTTGGACCTCACAGGACTCCGACTGGACACTGCATCATCTTTGTGTCACGAATTGTTCCCTGGCAAAGACTACTTCTTGGCCTTTTGGTAACATGACCCCATGGCAAGTTTCAGTGCCGGTTTTTGACAGAAACTCCGGATATTGAAACATCCTCCAACTGCTGTTTTCATTGTTCCAGTGGGTCAATAAAGTGTGTTTAGCTTCTTGCTTCGTCTGTACTACATTCGTCAGAATGCAGAATCTTTGTCACTCCGCGCTTGTTCATCCTGGACGCATGCTCCACCCTTCACCTGCTTGGACGCACTTAGCTAGTTCTCAAAATTAAGAATGCGCTCTCTCTTTCTCAACTCTGGCGGCTCCAGCTGAGAATGCCAACAAGTTTAAGTCGCATAATTCCCGCAACCTAGCCAACCGCGGGCAGGGAATATCAAAACTACACAGCCTTACGTACTTGAAGCTAGTTGAGGACCATCACCGGACTCCATCGTATATGCAGGCTTCACCGCGTCCAAGCGGAATGATAATTGTGTGAGCTACTCTGCCAGTTATGCACACTTCCAAGGCGGACTTTCAGTCAGGGATACGCGGCTTTCTTTGTCTCTGCTGTTGCACAAAGTACTGAGAGTGTAAGGGTATTCATCACCAGTGGTCGCTTATCCCTACTTTCCTGTGATGTAACTTCCTTGTCTTGTGCTCATAGTTGCTTGCTCCATCCCTTGGCCTTGTTCTTTATGCCTACTTGGAGGTAACGTTCCTGCTGTTCTACTATCTCACCTTCGTTTCAACCCTCCTGCCAGAGTATCGCTCCTCACCCCTTCCCTTTAACTGAGGCCAGCGAAAACTTTACTCTCGAGACCTCCATCGCCAAAAGAAAAATCTCACCTGAAACGTGACTGCGTATTTTTCACTCTCTTCATCTCTAATTCCTCTTCGTTACATGAACTAATCGGGGTGTTGTCGACCCTGGACGAGTAGGAAACATCCCTCCATAGGTATTCTCTATCACTACATCACCAACCTCCAATATGGCTATCATGACGGGTATCATTTCTGTCGCTGTGATGGCGCTTGCCGTCTTAGCCAACCCTGAGTCCGTTCACCAGGGCAATGGAGTCATTCGCGATGCTGCTTGCGGCTCCCTCTGCGCCTCCAGCGAGCCCCCATTTGACAATGCCATTTGCTACGAAGTCAAACTCGACAACGGCAAATGCAAGGCCGTCTTCATCAATTCAGAGGCTGGCAAGCTTGACTTCAACACGACCGATGATGCCATATCCGCCGGCATCGATGTCAAGCGCACCCAGGTCGACGCTGATGAGGGCAAGAGTAAGGGTGCTAGTGCCACTGGCGATACCAACAAGATCATCAAGGTACACGGATTCACAATCGGCAAGGGTACCACCACCACCCCAATCACCAAGCGTCTCTTTTTCGATCGTTCCGACATGGGCCAGAAGGTCTGCGATAGGCAGTCATCTGTCTGCTACGACCGCGGTCAGATGGCCAAGACCCAGGATTGCGAAGAGCTCCTCCTCTTTTGGAGCAAGACTCACGGCAAATGGGTCATCTCGGACCGCGATATCGTTGGAAGATTTTGGATCGAGCTGATGGCGAGCGACAGTTGCGTCTTTGCTGTCGGTCGCCCTGGCGCTGAAATCCACATCAACCCTATCAATGACAAAGAAACCTCCCTCGGCGACCTTGACATCGTTGGTATACTCACGCAGAGCATCGCTGGCTGCGGCAAGAGTGGTGGAATGGAGGCCAGGGGTGTGATTCAGTGCAACCCTTTTGACCTTGTGTTCTGGGTCGTCGGCAAGGGCAGCTTCGACTGTTGCAGGGGCGACAACCCTCCGGGCAAGAGCACTGGTAAAACTTGGATTGCAAGGTCTAGTGGTGATGTGTGAGCCCCTTGATCATTGGGAGGCTTGCGGTCAGCATCTCGAAGGTCGGAGTGGCATCAGGGGAAACTAGGTCTAAACTCTGGCTCAAATGGAGCCATCCGGTAGGGGAAGGAGGGGAAGACATCCTTTGAAACTACAATAATCGGTATAAGTTACAGACATCAGACACTCGTTCCTGTGGTTCATCAGGCAGAATGCCCGTTTGTTTGTAGTCATGACATGTTGGAAAGTGTGGTGACAGCTTTTATGTTGAACTTCCATCCTCACCTTTCACACTCGTGAGTCATGGTTAGGCTTTTCCCCTTCTTCTCATTGCTTCCAAACTCCTTCGAAACAGATCCCTTTTAGGGATCTAGATTTTCATTCGAAAGATGACTCGTCGACGGGACATATTGTTGAAGTCAGCGCGCCGCCGTCGCAAAAGTATAATGACATAGAATGACCAAACAGCAGTGCATAGAAGGTATAGAAACCGGAATGCTCCCCGCTGTCGTTCATCTCACCAAGTACAATTCCACCTTGGCCAGGTTTTCCAAGTCCATGCCTACCAAGGCCCTTGGACGCTAGGAGGCCTGTTCGCCGCCCACGCCGCATCTATCTCAGTGAGCGACTGATAGAAGTAAATGCGACGGCGACTCCGATCACAAGGCTCGATAAATCTGTCACGCACGTATTGGGAGCTCGTCAATCGTGCCTCGCTCGAAGCTTGTCGTGACTGGCACATGTGGTTCGAGCGGCGGGCCGGGTGAACGAGCGTGCGAGCCACGCGAAAAGTCAAAGTTTTGAAACCTTTCCCGCCAGCTTCCTCCTGGCTCGGGTCAACGCATCGGCCTGCCGGCGGTCTATGCCGTCTGCTCGAACACCGCAGCGTGCCCGCGTCCGTTATGCTCCCCTAGTCAGAGGAAACGGGGTCCCCCTTCCGTTTCGCCTTGGTCCTGCGGTGCTCCCGGCACATCGAGCCCACGGTCCAGACATGGATTATACAGAGTTCTTAAGCTTCTTTGTGCGTATTGGCGATGAGCTTGGTCAGCTTGGATGGGTCGTTCTGGGGTGACCGGAGTCGAATGATCTGAACACTTTGCCGGACCGTGCCTGCTTTTTCTTCTCCCGTTCGCCTCCGCTACTTGGAGGATCCTTGGTCTTTCCCTTCACCGTTCATCCTCGGTGCAATTGAGAATCAGTTTGGATTGAGCTGAGTCGATGTTTAAGTTGAGCGGGTGTCCTTGTCCGTCTTCATAGGAGGGTTTGGCGCTACAACTCGTCCTCTCACTCTTGCAGCCCAGATCCTTCGAAGAAACCAAACAAATATACTGTCCCCTCTTTTGGTCATGCTTTCAGGTTGCTAGTCTTACCATTAGATTCATGATTGTATATATGAGTTCTGTTGTGTCTCTCGGCGACTTTAAGTAGTCATGCCAGTGGGAGCGCTCGCTCTAGTCGCCCTGCTAGCTGCAGCTGTTTCGTGTGCACCTTCAACTCAGGACCTGAGGACCGACATAAGCATTATTCGGGATAATGATCTGCTAGGTAAGTCACATAACGTGTCGTCATATATAGAAGTACTGTGATTCTGACGATAGTGGTTTTCAGACTCGAAAAGCCCTGCGGCGAACACCAGCGCTCTGTTTCTTCACAGCAAGATGTCGTTCAGTGAGGCGAAAGCTGCATGTGGTAAGCTCGGCGAGGAGTTGTGGGCCCCCGCTTCTGGGCCGAACGGCACTCAAAGAATTCTCTCCATACTCAACTATCAGAGGCCGGATAGTGACTTATCCGCAATATGGGTTGCCCCAAAAGACGGCGAGACCCCGACGACAATCAACTTGCAAGGCGATGTTTCCTCCGCTGATCCCTCCGCCACCAATCCGGTCTTCTGTATGCAAACGGCCCCATTCTCCAATGGCGTAAGTCAGGATAACACCGAACGGTGGCAGGTGGTCGTCCACTCCAACAACGAAGATGTTCTCGGCTTCCGGGACCGGAACAGTTTCCGGTTCCAGGGCATGCGGTTCGCAACCAAGCCAGAGCGCTTCGCATATCCCGAGATGTATCAGGGCTCCGGCGGCAATGCCACGGCCCTCGAGTTTGGCTCTCCCTGCTACCAGGGATTCGGCAGCGAAGACTGCCTCTACCTGAACGTTTACACGCCGTTTCTCCCGCGGAACAGAGGCGTCGACGCTGGGCTTCGACCAGTCATGTTCTGGATGCACGGCGGAGCCCTGACGAGCGGCTTTGGCAGCGACCCCCTGTTTGACGGCGGGAATCTGGCCTCTCGTGGCGATGTCGTCCTCGTCACAATCAACTACCGCCTCGGCACCCTGGGGTACTTGGCGCTTGACGACGGGGAGACCAACGGCAACTTCGGACTCGCGGATCAAATCCTGGCATTGGATTGGGTCCGGGAAAACATTCGAGATTTCGGCGGCGACCCCAGTAAGATCACCATCTTTGGCCAGTCCGCCGGTGCCGCTTCTGTCCGGGCAATGATGGCATCACCGAAAGCTGCTGGCAAGTTCGCGGCAGCAATACCTATGAGTAACCTGGGGGGTATGGCGTATGGGGAGTCGTACTCCAAGTATTACTCGATTGAGGAACAGCTGGAACTCGTAGGGAACGCCATACTTCGCACCACGAAGTGCACCAACGCAACATCCCAAGTCGAATGTCTTCGGAAAGTGCCTGTGGGAAGCCTTGGGGCTGGGGCGCGATATCTTGTCAACGACGGTGTCTATCTAACGACAGACGAGTTGTGTCTGAAGGGGAACCCATTGAATGTACATGTGCTCATGGGCATCGCATCCGAGGATGGCTTGCCGTTCTTGACCTTCCCGCGCAACAGAACAGTCGTCAACGACACACAGTGGCTCACATCCCAAGGCCTTCCGGCACCGCCTCCACGTCTTTTCCCTCCAATAGAAACGAAGAACAAGACCCGGGCGGCGTTTGGTGTAGGCGCCCAGCTAGCAACCGACGCCATGTTCCGCTGCATAGACCAGGCGACTGTCTTCGCAGGCCTGGACAGCGGCGTGCTCGGGTCCAAAGTCTACTACTACGAGCTCGAGAGGACGTACCAGACGCCAGAGTGGCCCAAGATCGACCTCTGCCAGGCACCCAAGTCGGAGGCACACCCCGCAGGAGACCCCGAATCGCCCGTCGACAACCTGCGGTGCCACTCGGGCGAGCTGCTGCCGGTGTTTGGCAATATCGTGCGCCAGGAAAACCCGCTGCGCGACGAGTATGATTTGCCCTGGGAGCAGTACCTTCTCGACGCGTTCACGTCGTTCGCGAGAACGTACGATCCGAATCCGGAAAGGGGATTCCTCGAAGCGAGGGGGTTTGAGAGCACACTGAGGGCGCAGGAGCAATCGCTATGGGAGCCGGCCGTCAAGGGCGAGATGAAGATGAGGAGGATCTACTGGCCTGTGGAGGGTGATATGATGAGGGACTTCAAGGATCTCGAGCAGTGTAAGTTTCTGGGGCTGCCACTTGATTACTACATTTGAGTACACATTTGGAAATCCTACAAAACAGATGCAGATATGTATTTCCTGGATCTAGATAATTCGACAGTCATATTTACTACATGTAACTAGATGATGTTTAAAATGTCTATGTTTCAGTCTTATTCGTCACTTTAGTCTCTCATCGATAACAGGATCTCGACCAAAATTCTTCCTTTGCTCTCAGTCAAAGCCAGTAATGCGTGAAGGCCCAAGGATTCGATTGGGCTGGCCAGGCAGGTCTTGTTTACATGGGAGATCGGGACTCTATGCCTCTCTAATTTATCGGAAAAGGCATGATTGGATGAAGATAGGAAATAAGTACTCTTGGGCTTGCATTGAGTAAGCATGGCTGTGGAGGAGATATCTAAAGACGGGCCAAATTGGGCCGCGCATCAGCTGCCTGATGCAGGCTCGGAGGGGTAAACCTGCACAGCCTTTCTGCGCATGAGCATCAGGTTCAGTGTTCCGTTTTCTCCTCTACTTCTCCTGACTATTAGGCTTCCGTCTCCACGACCCATCATTTTGTCAATCAAAACCCGTGCGATTCGGATTCTTATCACGGGGCATCTGACTGCTGGCGATGGAGGCTGCAATCGGAGTCATCGGACTCTCATTGCAGCTTATCGATTCAGCCGTGAAGGTGAAGCGGGCCATCAATAACTACCGGTCTGCCTCGACAGAAATCCATCGGTTAGCAATCAAAATCGAACGAGTAGAGGCAGTATGCGGTGCTATCAAGAAAAGCCTCGAGGGTGGGCCTTCGACACGGCGATGCTCCGATCTCATCGAAACCTGGGGTGTTTGTGTGCTGAGGAGCGTCCAGTCGACGCTTGCAGAGCTTCACGACATAATCGCCAAGCTTGAAAAGAAGGCAGCGAAGAAGAGAGTAGTGAATGCTGCGGGTATGGCCTTCTTGCTGGAGAAGGACGACATAACGCGCCTGAGCAAGTGTCTTGACGAAGACCTGAATCATTTACAACATATGATGATGACCGAAATGTTGTGCGTCTCTGAGATTCATGCTTCACAAGTCTTTTGCTGACCTCAGAGTTAGCTCTCAATGCAATATCGTCCAACAGTTGGTCTTTGACCAGTCCACCGCACAGGTTGCATCTTCAATAGAAGGCCTGGCAACTTCTTTGACTTGCCCCGAGTCTTGCACCACTGTATCATCTGCCGAGCCAAGCGTAACAAAAACCGTCACTACAAGCAACCGAAAGATCATTAGCGCATACGGTTTCCACGGCCAAGCACAGAGCGTCAGAATCATCAGAAAATCTCGTTGGCAAAACAACAGGGAGACGACGACGTCAAAAGAGGTTAAGACGTATGCTTTCGGTCTCAGTGGCATTTCCTACAGAGTGGAGTTCCACTGGCATCTCAGCATGGCGAGCCCAGTGGTATATGCCATGAACATTCGACACGTCATCTCGAGAACAACAGATCCAAGGCTTTTAAATGACATAAAGGATGCCATGTGTGATGGCAATTTACAAGCGTTGCAGGGTATGCTTTCCGCTGGAAGGCTTACACTGAGTTCTCTGTGCGGAAAAAGGACTCTGTTCGAGGTGAATTTGCTTTAATTTCGATAGTCTTTCATGCTATTGGCGCCGAATGCTGTCTGACCGATATTTGATACAGATGGCAGTCATTGCCAACCAGCCTGACGTTTGCCGTTTCCTTGCTCAACAGAACAGCAGGCTATGCACAGATGAGCAGTGGGTCCGATAGTTTCTGGTTTGACTTAGGCTAACAGGATGCTCAGGCTTTGTAGACCCGATGATGATCCCGGATATTCGGTGTACCTTTTGGAGCCTTTGGAGATTCGCCGTCGTGTCTTTGAGATTGATGACATAGTCCAATTCAACCAGGCATCCCAGGTCTCAAGGTTTCGACTCTTGGCCTTTCAATTGAGAGACATTCGGTCTTTAATCGAATTGTACCATCGATTTGACAAACCGGCTCTAGACCCCACTGAGAAAAAAGACTTTGTCAACGCCGCTTGGGACGCCGTTGTATATTGTTTGACATTCACGTACGGTGATATAGATAATATTCTTCAGTTTCCAGATGATGAAAGTATAGGGCTTTCAATAGGACTTTTTGTTGAGTTGATTGACGAGGGTGTTGACGTACATAGACTTGTCAGTTTTGACTTTCATCTTTCCGAAACGAAAGAGGGCCGGTACACCGCACTGTACAAGATCCTCACCGCCTACGATTGCCACCGAAATGTCGAGTTGAATTTATCATGCTGGTTAAGGATGCTCCAGGCGAGCCGAATCGGCATGTATGGGTATATAGAGCGCGAAACTGCTTTCTGTCGGTCTCTTTGGGGTATTCGTCCATGGGGATGGAGAGGACCATTGAGTACGAAAGTGATTGAAGGTTTCGAAATCCCCTTCTGGCACCGATTCGTCGATCCGCTCGGCAAAGCCTACGAAGTCAGACACGAGTTCAGAAACTGGGGTCGTCTTGACCCAAATATGAGACTCTTATGGTATGGAGCCCATGGATTCCTGGAAAAGCTGATAACGGAAGACCATCAGCTGCACATTACAATGAAGGGACGCGAGATGGCTCTGGCAGTACAGGATGATTGGCCATTTGAGTATTCTTTTGTCCAGATTCCTAACCTGACTTACCTGAATCAATTACAAGATTTCGGGCTTTCGGCAAAGGACCAACGAAACATTGAGAGGTCATATTTATACGCCAGGGAACTCATAAAGAGCAGGTTTGAGAGAAGGCAGATGAGGAAACTCTACAAGTCTGGCTGCCTGAAGAGAGAGAAACATATACTAAGAGTACCGGGAGCTTGGCCGAGCTTGGAATAGTAGGCTTGGGTCAGACGGCCATACACATGAACGAACATACATCGAGATCTTCCATATACTCTTCAATGCAGCAGGACGTTGGACAATAGCGTTACCGGAATACAAGGCGACTGCAGCTGAATGGCACACTATAATTCGTCAAACTTGTCAACACGATTTCAGCTCAACAACAATGGTTGATATCAGCAACGCAGTTTTTTCTTTTTGTTGGGCGCGCCAGGATGCTTTAGAAATTTTAGCAACAAGTGGCGGGTTGGAACGCCAGTCCGACGGGGGAAAGGTGACACAGCCTCCAATGAGCAGCAACACAATCTCCATTTATTAAATAATATCTACTTCGCTTGATGTTTCCGTCATCTTATGGTATAAGTAAGGCAAACAAGCTGAGTTTTTGCATACTGAGCCTCCTGTTGCGCCTTATACAGAAATGAAACGATCTTCCACCCGTGCCGCGCATAACTTATCGCGGGACGTTGGGCAGCGGCCTCGGTCCGACGATTTGTCTGCGGCCCGCCCCAATTCCCTGGGCTCCCTTGTTCTGGTTGTCTCCACCAGTGTATCCGGACCACTGGCTGACGTCCCAGCGACCTCCAATGCCACCGCCGATGCCGTCCACACCGTTTCCGGTAGGAACCGCCCGAGCCGTCTCTTTCTGGGCCTCTTCCCACTCACGCTGACGTTCACGCTCCATCTCCATTTCGCGTTCGAGTAGCGACTTGGACGCCCATCCACCTGCCTTGGTCTTGTTCTGGCTTTGAGCACGTCGGCGATCCTCGGCATCTTGCTCTGCAGTGGCACTCAGCTCCCGAGAGTAAGTTTGTTTGGCGGCAAGTGGGGCCGGCGCGGCGTTGTTAGCGAGGAACCGGTCGGTCCGGCTTGGTGGGGGCTGATTCGCCGCCTTGTAAGCGGCAGGATCCGGAAGAGGTCGGCCGCCCGTTGTGTGAGCCACGACCTTTTGAGGCGGTTTAGAGACTGTCATCGGATCCGGAAGGGGCCTCGGGGATCTCGGAGGCAGTGCGGGATGCTCGTCGTCCTGCGCATCCTGGTGCTGAGACCATGCAGTCTGAAGCACCTCCCGCTCGTTTTTGGACCACGAGTCTTGGCGACTAGGGGCTCCGTCGGACGGCCGGCTCCTAGACCTAAGCCGGGCCTTGGGATCATTAGTAGCGGCAAGTGTCCTGCCCGTCCGACCTTGGCGCTCAAGCTCATATCGCCTCTCACGTTCTCGGGCTTCTTCGAGCTCCTTCTCCAGCTCAGCGATCCGGTCAGCCCCGGTCTTTTGGGGCTTGATGGCTTGCTCCGACTGGTATTGACTGAGAAATTGTCCCCGTAGGCGGGCATCGCTCTTGCTTCTGGCGCGGCTCCGTTCCTCTGCTAAGCGGGCTTCGGCTTCGGCTTCCTCCTTGCGGCGCTTCTCTTCCGTCAGCTTCCACATGCGCTCTTCCTCTTCCCATTGACGTCTTTCCTCATCAGCCTGCCGCTGCTTCTCTTCCACAAGACGCTGGATCTCCTGCTCTTCCCGCAAGCGAGCCTCGCGCTCAAGCTCTTCCTCTTTCTGACGTCTAAGCTCCGCCATCTGTTGTCGCTGACGTTCCTCTTCAGCTTCTTTCTCTTTCCGCCGCTTTTCCTTATCGGCCAAGGTTGGGACAGAGGGGCCAGCACTAGTGATCTGCCTCCGGCTTCCGAACGATATGCCCAGGTTTCCTTGGCTGGCACCGCCCATGTAGCCATATTGAGCGATGTTCCATGCTGGAGAGGTGGCACCCTCGTGTTCCTTTCTACTCCAGCTGCTAACGGGAGACGTAGGCTTAGTCGGGCTCCATCTTCCCGACCCTGAGTCTCCCGTCTTGGAACTGGTCAGGTTAGGCCGAGGGGAGCCAAATCCAGACGCATTCGAAAACCCACGCGATCGCGTAGGGGAAGGGGTTCCGCGTCCAGTGGCTTGAGGACTCATCACTCCGCGACTTTTGGAGCCGATCGGTGAGGCGAATTTGGATGGGTTCGCTGCGTGTGCGGCACGACTGAAGGCGCCTAGGCATTGCAATACTTGGGCCGGGTCTTTTTGCTCGAACAGATCGACGGTAAGGAAGACATCGTGGTCCTGCAGGTTAAGAGGGGGCTCTTTACAGGCGCGTAGAAAGTGCGAAATGTTTTCCATCTGAACGAAAGGCATCGCTGACTTCTTGAACTTGACGCCAGGCGGAGGTACCGCAAGGTTGATCAATCTGGAGCATCATCTGTCAATAACGGCAACTATTGACGGATAGCAGTTGACCTACTTGCACAGCGCAACACCATCTTTCAGTCCCTCAAGGAGATCGCCGGAAGGCAGTCTCTCTCCCAGAACGCCCTCGATCCAGGTACTGACTTCTTTCGCTGCAGCAGGTGTATACTTGTCGAGGCGCAATTTGCGCAAGTCCTTGTCTAAGGACGTTACTGATGCCATTTTGAATCTTGGTATGTGTTATCAATGAGAGAATCAATGGCGGATCGGGGCGATTCGGCGTTTATGAGTCGAGGGGCTTCGCAGTTGATTTCGTAGTATGCGTTTCAGTGATGCAGCGTTTGGACGCTGACGTCGGCGGGGGTCGACGCTGACTGAGTTGGAGTTGAGGGAACGAACGCTGGGGATGCAGCCGATTTGCGCGTGCGTAAGACGTGTCTCGGATGTTCGCGACGATTACGCTGATGGTCGTTTCTTGGTCGCTCGAGAGGACAGCCGGAAGGGAAATTCAATGTTCTGCAGGAGGAAACTAGGCAGTCGGGTGGCAGGTCGTAATGATTGAATACCAGGCGAAGACAGGTCGTGGTGGGGAAGATTTAATTGTTTATGCATCTCGCGCTGGCGGGAACCTGGGATAAGGTGACAGCGCCCAGGGTCCGGCTGGTGCGCCGCGGCCTTACGGAGTGACGTGTGCGGTGGTGGCTGGTGGGGTCAATGTAACTCTCGTTCTTTGAAGGTTTGGCTTGCGCCTATAGGAAAAAATACGTGGCTGAAGATAAGATATCCATTCCTCGGCCAAATTTCCCGTGGCGGTGCAAATTATCCAAGGTTGACCTCATTACTTTTCTAGAATCTAGTGAGCTTCGCGTTTTGAAGCCATGGGTTCCTGAACGTCGATATTTTCCCCCAACCCCCATACAAAACGGTGCAGATGTCTCCGACACGGATATCACCCCTTCTGGAGGCTTGGTACAAGTGGAAGTCGCTCAGACTACCATGGCGCAAGCGCTTCCTCGTTGGTACGGTTCCAACTTCTGCCTCCCCTCACCCCCCTCTGTAGATATATGACCGGGGAGACTAATAAGCTCGGTTCTAGGCCGTGACCTACAGGGTTACACATTTTGGGAGTTTCGAGAGACCCGCGGCAATGAACCTGGCCGCTTCCGCCGCATCGTCAAGTATCCGCGATCCGTCTATCTGTCCGACGTCAAGGTATCACCGTTGTGGCATCAGTGGTTGAGGCACACCCGACAAGAGCCCCCGACGCTCGAAGAACAATCGCGCGAGGCCTTCCGACAGGAGCGCATGAAAGTGTTAGCAGCGCAGGCGGATGCCAGATGGGAGGCAAAGCCTAGGTTGACGGATGCTCCGGGGCAGCAGACAGGTCAGCGTTTGCCATCATTCAACACTGCGCATACCCAACCCATTGCGCCGGAACTGGAGGCGACGAACCCGACCACGAAGGCGAGCGCACCCGAGACAGTATTGCCGCAGTCTGACAAGCCGGCCGAGCCGGCTCAGCCTGCAAACGAGACGAAGAACAAGTACGGAAAGGACCCTTGGGCGAAAGCTCGAGGGCCGAGTGAGGATTGGCAGCCAGAGACGTGGGTGCCACCTGCAGGAAAGAAATAAATGGCTTATATGACAGCTTCGCGTCTGTATACTACTAGAAGACTGAATGAACCTCCGCACATGTACCAACAATTCAACATGAGTCTATTTGCTGCCAAGTTCGATGTGTCGAGCCGTCTTCTTAGCGACTTGGTATCAGTACGAACCAGTGTCGCAGCGGCGCCACGCTCGTCTGCCTGTGACGTCGTAAACAAACGCCTGAACGCCCATCCCATGCCAATCCGTACCCAAAACCCAGGCGCTACATATCTTAGCAGAAAATCTCTGACAGAATCGCGTGCCTAATCGGCGTCTTCCCTCTGAGCCTCCTTTTCCAGGGAGCCCCGGAGTCTCTCCTCTTGTCTCTTCCAATGGCTGCCCTCTTCATAGTCTTTGCTTATTCTCAGAGCGCTACGTAATCTCTCGCTCTCCTTAATCTTAGCGTCGGCCATTTCGTGCACTTGATGGCTCTTGAAGTGCTTGCGTATGGGCCCGGCACCGCCGCCGCGGCTGTTCTTCTGTTTCTCTAGCTCGGCTAGTAGCTTCGCTCGCATCTCGTCGCATCGCTTCTCTACTTCTTCTTCGTCAAGACTAAATGGTTGGTCAGCACCATACCGATCGATGGCTAAAAGAGGCAAGCAAGATAAGCTTACCCTTCGTCTTCAAGTGTGTCGCGCAGATCGAGCACCTTAACCTCCACCTCGCGCTTGCGGTCGTGCTCTAATATTTCTTTATCGGGCTGTCGCTGCTTGTGACGGAGTGAGTCAGCGTCCTTGGGGGGTAGGGCGCGCCGTAGTCGCGCGGACGCATATGCGCGAGGTTGCGTTGGACATAGCCAGAAGTGCCACTGCCGCGAGGCGTTGAGAGACCGACGTTGTCAGACATGGCTTGTGAAATTGGGTATATTTTTTGTCCTTTGTGTGGGATCGAAGAAACAGTCACGATCTGTGTCTGCTGATCTTGAATCGACTTGGTGTTGGTGGGAAAACCGAGATGTATCCCGTACCTTGGAGCTGCACAAGACGTCACTGGCCCAGGGCGTTTGGCAGAGTGGTACGGACGACGTTCAGTCAGGCCACATAAGGCGGTGAGTTCGAGCGTAGAGTCAAGGCGCGGCAGAAAAGTTAGGACGGGTGGGATGATAGTGGGGTACTTTCATCTTTCGGCGATTGGAAGCCTCACTCACTAATTAAAAGAAGACTCATCGATATAAGTGAGAGCGGAAGAAATTTATTACTATACAAGGCCTCTGACGGAGATGCCAAGTTCCCAAATTTCGCCGACTAAGAACAACCGAAAATCTTCTTGATCAAACACAATTCTCAACCCGAGAAACTAGTTCCGTAATGCCGTCCCTCGAAGGTCTCACTGGGGGGCAGCCCACCCTGGACGCCATCAACAACGCCACTGCCCAAGACCCTGAAGAACTTACCTTTCCACCAGTGGCCAAGGAGCACATTCTGAACTGCTCGTACGATAGCTGGTTTCCCAAGTACCGGACAGTGTCAATCAGGTCGAGAATAATCAAGCTATCAGCCGACTTTGTCAAATACATTCGCGACGACGGCATCATCCTCGCTGACGAAGATAATGTTCTAGCTGAGGAAGACGAGGGGGAGTGGTCCGCCTCTTCGAACACAGCCGACGCACCAAGACGGAACCAGCGCCTCGAAGGGGATAGCTCAGATGACGAGCCCGAGGCCGACTCTCGGCCTCCGAATGAACGCTTTCCTGAAATCCACCAGGAGATCAAGGACATTATCAAGGAGCTGGGAGGCGCTGTTGCGCCCAAGCTGAACTGGTCCGCCCCGAAGGATGCAGCTTGGATTTCACCGCACCAGAACACGCTCAAGTGCACATCACCCAACGATATCTATCTCCTTCTTAAGAGCTCCAGTTTTGTCAGCCATGACTTGGAACACGCCTTCAAAGACACCGTCTCCTCGACCTCAAACAGACCTTTCCAGCCCGTCCTGGTTCTCAGACCGTTCTTCGCGCCCCACCCCGCGCTGGAGTTTCGTTGTTTCGTCAAGCACCGCGCTCTCATCGGTGTCTGCCAGCGGGACTGGAACTACTACCCGTTCCTCGACGGTCTCCGGCCTGCGCTGGTGTCCAAGATCACCGATTTCTTTGAGGACCGTCTGCGCTTCACATTTCCCGACGGATCCTTCATCTTCGACGTCTACGTGCCCGGCGATAGCAACTCACATGACGAGCTCGGCAAGGTGCGCCTTATTGACATCAACCCCTGGGCGCCGCGAACCGACAGTCTGCTCTTCAGCTGGGTCGAGCTGCTCGAGTTCAAGGTCCCGAAGCCGATACTGGGCTCCGTTGTGAACGAAGAAGAACAGCTTGAAGGCAGCGCTGCGGACGAGACGACAGACGAAGAAGATGCTGATGAACTGGTTCCTGAATTGAGGCTGGTTGAAAAGGATAACCCAGTTGCATTCAACTTCAGCACACCGCAGTACTCTGCGCATAAGCTGCCAAAGGAGGTTGTCGATACGAGTTTGTCAGGAGAAGGCGGGTTGAGGGAGTTTGTCCAGCGGTGGAAGGAAATGACTGAGGCTGATGGCGGCGGTGATGTCTGGGAGAATTCTGCCACAACCGAGGCGTGAGATGCGGGGTTGTATTCCAGCCGAGGAAACATCTAGCTGGAGTAGTCTAGAGGTGCGATCTCGCTTCGTGCCGAATAGCATCAATGGATATGCGCCAGTATGATGGGCCGAATAATTCCATCCCATCGTCGTCAAGCAACGGGGCCTGGGTGCTCCGAGCAGTTCCATCGAGTTGATCATGCCTGTGCATAACCTTGATGTAGCGGACTGAGAGTGCAGAGCGCAGAGCTCTACCACTGTATTCCATGGCGATCCGCTCACTGTACACATAAACAGTCTCGTTTTGCATGACAGCTAATAGTATAACAGCAGACGATCTTTGCGGTTTGTTCTTTCCGATGTATCTATCCATCTTCCGCAAAGAATACTCGCTTACATAAGACTCGGTAAGTGCTGGGACCAAAACATCTGGTCCGAGCTCCTACCTTCCATTCGTACCCGTAGCAGTTTGTGAGTGGAACCCGAGACAACCACCAGCTTCTTCCCGCTCAACAGCTCCTCCCGACCCCCCCAAACTCCTCATCACACACACCCCCTCCAGCTGACACCAGCTGTCCGCCCTCAACGCCACTCATCGTCAACTAGGTAGCTGGAGCTTCCTCGCCGTCCACCTCGATAAAACAGGAGCACCGCTCTGCTCGATTACCCCATGAGTGCCCGAGGCGGAAGCCGACCACCTCCTCGAGGCCGCCCAAACAAGGTGACGAAGCCTGCTGGAGGCCTCAAGCGCGACGCTCACGGCCGCCAGAGCCGTCACTCCTCCGTCGCCGCCGACCAGCTGGAGCAGCTAGCGCACGATGCAGAGGCCGAAGCTGATCACGAAGATGACGACGAGATAGCCGTCCCTCCACCTCCCGTTACGTCCTCCCATCATCAGAACCAGCACCAGCAGCATCAGCAGCACCATCATCCGAACCCCTTCGACCTCGCCGCCGCCGGCATTCTAGCCAACGGGCCTCCCGGCTCAGTGCCCGGGCCCGAGGCCGACATCCACCCCGATCTGCATAGCCTGCCGGCCCAGTTCGCCATGGAAGCCCCGATGGGTACTCATGGCGCCGGGGGCTTGTCCCGGACGGCCGAGGACCTCGCTTCTGAAAGCGGATACGGGCAACTGGTCATCGATAGTGCACTCGCCAAACGGCTGGCCAACAACGAGGGACAGCGGCTCGCGGTGCAGCGCCGCCAGGACCAGACTCTCAACCTGAAGAGAAGAAGCAACGTCGAAGCATTACTGGCTCACGTGTCGGGACAGGAAGCCCATAGTCCCTGTAAGAGCTGTCACAAGGGATACGGTCCTTGGAATGGGTGCGTGGTCGTCAGCGGCCAGATGTGTGGCAGCTGCGCCAACTGTTGGTTCAACGCGAGCGGCTCTCGCTGTTCTTTTCACGGTAAGCAGGAACCGAGGATACAACGAGTAGGTCCTCGAGAAAATATCGGATAACTAACAAGCTCTCCCACGCAGAAAACAACCTTCCTCAGCATATGCCAGCCATCCAGCTTCAGCCTGTGCCCCAGGTGTCTGCGAACACAAGTTTTGCCGGCACAGCGCCAATGGCTCCCGGCATGGCCCCCGCAGGCCCCAGCTTCGGGCAGCCTGGCGCCGACCCGACGGTTGCGCAGTTTGTCAAGGATGTACTGGACAGGGCCATGGCGGAAGCTCGGAGCGATAACCCACACGTGCGATTTCAGCTTCGGATCGAAACAGCGGCACGGCAGCTAGCTCTTGCTAGCGCCGAGTACGCCGAATTCCTCTCCCAGCAGGGAGGTCATGACCCGAGTCAGCATCCCGATCCAGAAAGTTCCGTTCCGGAGGCGGCGATGGGCGAGGGTGACAACGGGGCCTGAGAGGCTCTTGTCGACTTATCTTTGCCCTACCTTATCTCTGTTTCGTCATCCTGGTGTCAAAGTATAAAGAGATGGCACGACTCTTCAAATGGTGAGATACCATGGTATTTTTGCCTTCTATTCTGGCACAGCCAACTGCGGATGCCCGACTCGCCGTGCTCCATCTTGTGTCAGTCGAACCTGCGAGCATTACATGGCCCTTGTGTAGCTTCACCATCGCCGTGCCACATTGCATTTCGAGCAGGCAAAGCTTGTGTGCCTGACTTACTCTCTATAAGCTTCCCTTGGCACGTGCGTTGTGGAGCACAGTCTGGTATACGAATACAGAGAGAACGAAAGAGCAACATTATGAAACAGAACACAAAGGGAACTCAGGGTTTCCCCTAGGCAGAGAATAGAGAGCAGGCATACAGCCAGAATACAGGATGGGCACCACAAAGCGACACAGCCACCCAAGGTCATGCGGACATCAGAGGGCTACAGTTGTCTGGTTTGGCTCAGGCACACAAGGTGTGATGGCCTGCAGCTACCATGAGACAAGGTTGGCGGGCTCGTTAGTATGCGTACACATACACACATACATACATACACACACACATGCACACATGCACACACGCACACACACAGATAGATTGATACCAATAATCTCAATCCATCATCAACGTCCCCTCATTTGTATGACATCAGATCATTTATCGCGAACCAGTATATCTTACACCTGAAGATGGTGGCTGGCTGTTGTGTCTCCTTTCAGGAAGTCTCCTGGTTTGCGGCATTCCGGGCTGGAGCTGTCCTTCCTGGATCGGGACGCAGTGGCCACACAGCTAGAAAAGCCTGGGAAGGCAAGGGGGCGTATTGGCATCTTTGCAATACTACCTACATTGCAGATATCAGCCAGAGCTGGGGTGTAGACGGGAGTGTCCCAGGACCTGTTCGGTCCATCAGCCCCTGTTGCGGAAAGCAATGAACCGTCTACTACTATCTGTACCCAATCAGGCCATATATGCTTCATCGTCACAGCCGAGGCTCTTGTGCGCTCTCTATACGCCTGCCTGGTGCGCCAGCTGTGGTGAACTTGCATGATGTCTTGAAAGTGGCCACTTATCCCGCTCAAAACCGAGAGACATATAATATAGGAACACCTACCACATAAGCGTGGTATGTGCCCTCCCGCTCCTTGTGTCAAACCAGCCCCCATGTTGCAAGCTGTGTCTGTTGTCACCTTTGCCAGACATTTGGCTCACTCGGGGACAGCCAGACATGTACTGCAGCCCGGTCGCCAACAATGTGCTCTTGGGCCGGGAGAACAGTATGTATGTAGGTACACACGCGCGCGCGCGCGCGTGCAAGTGTTCCGACACCTCGCCCACCTTATCATCCTATTCCATGGAGCCAGCACCCAATTATCTCCAGAGCCCGTGACTAGGAACCCTTCAAACCCCAGTTGAAAAAGAATAAAAAGAAAAAAACCTTGGGAGTCATTCGCCGCCTATCCTTCACCCTGTTGCCGGTTTGCTGGCGAAGGAGGGGTCTCAAAAGCTACTTCTACACACAGACACCCTCGTCGTCTGTCAGCCACCCAAAAGTTTCACCCTTCAACGTCTTTCAGTCCCAGGACGAGAACGGGGGGGGCGCACAGGCGGCCCATGGAATTCAAAGCGGCCACCCGAATGGGGCAGGCACGACAATCCCACACTGTGAAAGAGCGATGTTGGGACTACGCAGGAAACGGAAACGGCCGGTATCTTTCTCGTCCAGCCACAGCCTTTGTCTTGGCGATTTCTCCATGGGCAACAAATCCGGGCAGTCCAAGAAAACCAAGATCGTCCCGAAATCTCCGGCCCGTCTGGTCCTGGCAACCCGGCGAGCCGTCTCAGTTCCCAAACAATACAAGGCCCTCCGCCGCCCTGGCGAGATGAGAAGGGGATTAGGTGAAGAGCGACACCATGCAACCAGGCAAAAAAACAGTCAGTCTTGTGCATACCTAAAATGGAAGACCCCGGGGGGGGACTGTTAAACTAGCATACGATACCTGGTGCAAAAAAGCAACAAAAACGTCAGTAACGTGAACACAAACCACCCCCATTGGTCCGAAGCCCAGCCACCCTGCGACATGTTTGAGGACAAGAGGGGCAGACGGGGGGAGGGAGGTCATCAGCGTTCCCACAATGTATGGGCGAACGGACGGATGGGCACGTATTGTATAGTAGACTCTTCCTGGGTTCAGGCCCTACGTACGGAGTACACCTATAGTATAAACAGTCACGCTTTATTCCTGCCAGGTGTCTAGGAAGAGCGCAGTCACATGACAAAAGTCTGGGCTCACCCCGCCAGGGGGGAAGTTGGTGGTTGAGCCCAGACTTTTGTCAAGTAACTGTATGCACTTTCACTTCTTACTAATGTCAATCTAGAGGTACATCTCGGACGTTTAGCATACCGGTAGTACACACTCGAGTTCGTAAAATCCCAGCAGATGTGTAGATGGGACGAAATGATCCCGGCCCGACAGTAAACATTCCCCCCTCCCCTTCAATAACGTACGGTACAGATGTGCCGTATCCGCCCTTCGAACTAACTTACAGTACGGGAGACGGTGCTCGCCCTTCAAACAGCGCGCAATTTGGTGTTATCCTGCCCAAGGACCTGGCATCCTTGTTCAGCGGTCACTCCCAAGATTGATTTTCCCCATCATCCCCCACCCCCCACTCCTCGATTGAGCCTTTCTGCCGTGTTTTCAGATTCGCTTGTGGCGGAGGGGTATTTCCATGTCGAGTCTAGAAATTTTCTTTGACGAACACGCTGCCCACCCCTGCCTCGAAATACCTACCTGTACATCGTAAGTTCTTGCCACATCGCAACTCGCGAAAATCTCAACACCCCCAGCCTGCCTGGCTGACGTGCTTTCCCCCGTCCAACTTGAGGTCTGTCTATCAAGAAGTCTTGACGTTATTTGGCGACGGGACTGCGAGGACGTGCGCCACTCACACCCTCTTTTCAACCTGCTCTCCAGCCCACTCGGCCTGCTCAGCCCCTCCTACAGCGCCTAATCAATTACTGTTTGTAACGTACTTCTTCTCATCTATAGAATCTCCCCCAAGCCTAGATGGCTTTGGCCCATGAGAAGTGGCCGGCGCGCAGTAAGAGACCTACGAATGGAGGGGGCAGGTCGCAAGGGGAGAGGGGGGGGGGGGGGGGGCGAATGGGCTTGGACAGGACCCTTGAATTCTAAAAAAAAAAAAAAAAAAAAAAAAAAAAAAAAAAAAAAGGAAGAGAAAAGTATAAAATAAAAGTCTTGAAGGGGTGTGGTCGCGCGCGCGCGTGTGAGTGCTGCTTGATGATGGATGACTTGGAAACCTGCCCAGAACTGGGCTGTCTCTTCATCCGCCGTGCTTTGCGAGAAATGGTCCCCAGGCGGCCGGAAGCGGCGCAGTCACGCCTATCGGCGCCGTGAACAGCCGAGAGCGGGGAACGGGGCTTACCGGCCAGCCTATCGAACCCTGTGCGGAGTGATGTGCAGAGATCTCCAAGATCAAAATTCTGTTCGCATGATGTACAATGTGATGCATGTCGGTTGAGCTAGCTGTTGTTTTGGGAGGGGTCAGGGAATCGCAACATCTCAACGCTCTCAACAGGCACCCGTCGAGCTCGGCCAATCACCAAGAGCCCTCAAGGTAAGCGATACGTTATAAGCCGTCGAAGAACGGGCACGGCTGGTATACTACAACGCTCAATGTCACAGCAGCTCGATGAATAAAGAGATTTTTCGTAATTAAACAGAATATTTGACCACCTTCCATCCATCGGGCTCTCTCAAATGCATTCAAGTTCATTGCTTCTTTTCCTCCTGCTATCCATCCATCCGGGAATCGATTCCGCCCTTCTCCTCTTACCCCGTCGCCTCGCTACCTCGCTGCTCGCCTACGGCAGGGCTCCGTCCCCCGTGCGATCCCGCCTGCTGCTGTCGCGACGTCAAGTTTGGTACATAGCTGCCCCCCGTCCATTCCCTCTCATAACGGAGCGTGGACCAATAGGAGTAGAAACCAAAAAGTGTGACCGCCCAAGTCCGGGAGGGAATATACCAGGGACGGGTCGAGAGTGGAAGAAAAATACAGTCGCGTAATCAAGGGAATCTTGGGAAACCTTCAGGTCGCCGTCCGTTCGTCGGGAGAAAAGTTGTTTCATGAGCCAGCCTCCCATGACGTTTTCTGGCTTGTGTCATGCAATTAGAAGTAAAGGGTATTGTTGGAAAAAAGCAAACGTTTTGATGGTTCTTAAATCAAGCCGCACAGCCGCAGGTTCTCTTGAATGATGATGTCTGTTTGCCGGGTTAGCCACCGTCCTTTGTCATATTTGTGCCATCATGGTTTGATGGGGGTTGCGACTCACCATTCACTGCCGCCATGACGAAGCGGATCTGAGTCGTGTCTGTCGCGCAAGTAAAGTGCGTGTAGATTTGCTTGGTTTCATGCTGGTTCAGGCTGACGAATCGGTTCAGAATGTAGTCGCACGCCGCGGCATAGTCATCGCCCCCCTCATAGTCGGGGAAATAGTTCTTCATGGGGCTGACGGGAAGCTTCTCCTTGAACCGGTCGATCTTGTTGAGGAAGAGGATGATGGAGGTCTTGATGAACCATCTCGAGTTGCAGATGGAGTCAAACAGTGTCAGAGCTTCCTGCATGCGGTTGACGGTCTCGTCCTCGAACAGCAGCTGGTCGTACTCGGAGATGGCGACGAGGAAGAGGATTGTGGTAACGTTCTCGAAGCAGTGAATCCACTTCTTTCGCTCGGATCGTTGACCACCGACGTCGAACATTCTGTAAGTCAAATCGCCGATGATGAAGGTAGTTTCCGTGATACCCGTCGTCTTGACACGCGATCGCAAGACATCCTGATCGTTGGGCATGTAGTCAGGGGCGGCGATGCGCGCAATGTTGTCAAAGTAGCTGTACTGTTAGCGCAAGCGGCCTACGTGGACCGGACACAAGGCACTTACTATCTCGCAGAGTCGTTGAGCTGGTACTCGCGAGAGCGCTTGAAGCACTCTTGCACGCCACGGTCCTTCCAGAGCGCCTCGATCGCACTTCCGACTTCGGGCGGCAGAACATCCCCTTCAATCTGAGCGGGTTGCATGAAGATGGTCTGGACGTGGTACTCCATGCGTTGGTCCTCGAGGGGCAGTTCCAATGACTCCATGGCCTCGAGGATGACACGCATCGATTGCACCGTGTTGCTGAAGATAATTTCCTTGAAAGATTCGCGTTCATCGCGCGAGTAACCACCCTCGTGGATAAGCTTCATCTGCTTCAGAATTGTCGATTTTCCGGATTCACCAGCACCTAGATAGCGGTCAGGGAAGAACGGAACAAAGGACGGCGAAGCAACCGGACTTACCCAGAAGAAGCATCTTGATCTCATTGCGCTGCATCATTTTGTCCCTCTTCAGCTGGTTCTCGATCTCCTCGTTGCGGGCCTTGCCCTCCTTGTCCTCCGTGCTCATTCCGCAACCCATTTCGGCGGTTTGGTGTCGTTCAGACCGGCAACAGGTACAATTGAATTGATGGTGAGTAAAAGTGATTGGAGGATTTTGGACAGAATTGGGGGGCTGCGTCGAATGGAACCTGAAGGGGATCAGAGCTCGTTAGCCAACCATGCGGCGAGTGGGCGTGATGCCAGCGGGCGAACGAGAGAGACGGAGCGAGTTCTTTTGGGGAGGAGGCGACGGGACGGGGCTGGAATGCAAAACAATCCAGGCGAAGGCGAATAGGAGTAATGAGAAGTTGAGGCCGGGGGAGGAACCGATGTCGAGGAGGCGGGCGAGTAGGCGTGTTTCTGTCTGTCTTGTCTCTCTTCGTGTCTCGTTCGTCTCGCTTTCCCGATTCCCAATGGCTCGATGTCGGCGCCGGCTCAAACTGCTGTTCGCAGGGGGGGGGCTTTTGGTGTGGGTTGTACGTCCGTGCCGCTCTCTCTCGTTCGCGCCTGTGTATAGTGTGAGAGCGACGACGGAACTCACCTCTGTGTCTTTTAGATTGACGATGGGATCAATCAATTGGCGATGGCGTCGAGGAACGCAGCAACCAGGAAAAGAAAAACACAAGCCGTTGGGCGGACGATAGAAGGATGGGATGGTCGCGACGAGATTGCAAGACCAGCAGAAGCAGGAGGGAGAGAGAGAAAAGAGAGGAATGGGTTGGGAGGTGGCTCTAATGTGGAGAGAGGATATGGGAAAGGGCAAGGGTAGATGAGTTATGAACAAGGATGGCAGCGACGGTGCTGCGAGGAACAGAGAATACCTAGTGTACCTAGTGGGAGAGTGGGTAACAGTCGTCGCCGGGGCGGACCATGCGCTTCTAGGCACGGTACTGAGGCAATGTACACGGTGCGAGTAATTAAGCGAGACGGATACACGAGGGGCAGGGAAACAAGGGAAGAACAGAACAGCACTACCTAGTTAGGTAGGTATGCAGAGAATGAGGTCCCCGCTGACGGGATGTCCCCAGCCATGTTGGAGGTGCTGGTAGTGGTGGTGAATGAGGCTAGCGGCTTTTGGGGGCCATCGCCGGCCATCCTCGCCGCTGCAGTAGGTATTTGGTGGGGCGGTGTCACCTGTGAGTCTGTGACCTAATAACCATAGTACGATTCTATCGCCAGGACACAGAGGCGTTTCTTGGTGAACAGTGGGCGCCGACACCCCTCGCATCCCTGACCAACACTGCAAGCGTCTCTATCTCAATGTGTCTTTCCTTTTTCCAAGTCACGCACGACGTCTTCGGAAACACACACACACACACACGCGCGCGCGCGCGCGCAAATCTCACCTCACTCACGTCTTGCGTCAGTCCAACAACCCTCTCTCTTCTGCCACAGTATGAATCGGAATAGGCGGAATGAAAGGGGGCTTGTGTGGTGCACGGTGTAGACAGTAGGCTGGAGGTGCGAATATCTCTTCCCATGGCGCGCCGCGCATCTAGTGCAGGGGCTCAACAGGGGAGGGGTTCCAGAAGCAAAGGCACGTACGATGCAGGTAGGTAAGTAAGTACCGTACGCACTCGTGAGATTCGTCGACCACTAGTGAGTCGGCTAGCTGTATATAGCTAGCGTCTTACTGATAGCAGCTAGTGGAGTTTCATGGCGCTAATCTTGCTATAGAAGGCGGTCAGACTATCTACCCTTCGTTGCCAACTAGCCAGCCTGCTTTTAGTACGTACACAACCGTTGCGTGAGAAAATAGGTATATACAGATCCCTGTTTCTGCCAGCACACTATACCTCTTACAGTGGCCGCGATACCTATTGCCGTTAGCCGGCTCACTAGTGGTCGACGAATCTCACGAGTGCGTACGGTAATAGTACGGACGAAACCTGGATTCTACCCTTCCCCCCCCCTTTCCTCCGCCTTTTTTGGTGCTGCCGCTAGTAAACCGCCTCTGGCTCTGGTGCGCGGCGCGGTACGTATCCACTGGTACCTGCTTTACCGTGGCTTACCTCAACCAAGACAAGGTAGATACCCACAGATGAATTTAGCGCCGATTTCTGCTTTGGCCTTCCCTGCCAAAGTCTTGTCTGACTATCTGTCGCCTGTCTCACCCTTTTCCGAACCAAGGTACGGAGTACGCTAAGATACCTTCATTCTCTTTCAGCGCCGTCTTGTCGTCTGCCTGCAACCGAGCTATGCCTGCACCATTATTCGAGAAGCTGTATGGAAAGAAAAGAAGAAGAAAAGAAAAAGAAAAGACAAGCTGAGGACCTGTCTCATCGCCCGCCGTCGAGAGCACGCAAGCCGGGTAGATGGGGGAAAACCCTTGCTGCTGTATCCGTAGGTAATCAATTACACGATTGGCAAGGTCCATATGTCACCTCGGCCTCGGAGACGAGAACCAGGAATGTCATTCAGTATCCGTGGATCCGCACCCGGGCCATTTTGCAACGTCGAAATCTCAGCTGACCAGGCCGATAGCCGGTGGGGGAGTCGCCCTGCGAGCTCTAGCGTAGAGGTCTCATCCACTCCAAAGCCGCCTGCAACAAAGCCGGAAGCCCCTGGGCGATGCGATGTTGGAGGTCCCCTGCTGTGTTGTTGTTGTTTTTCCTTGCCACCTACCTTGCACTAGGTACCTTGGGTGCACATGCCCTACCTACTACGTATACATGGCCTGACTGGTCTGGAGGGTCTACACTAATGTTCGCCGCCCTGACTAATGCAGAAAGTCTCCTCACATTACCGTCGACTATACGGATACGGTTTAGAAGAAGCACGGAAATAGACTAGCGGCCTGTGTCAGCCCTGTGTAAGAGCTCGGGCTGAACCTGTACGAATCGACTAGCCCCGCCACGATTTGGTGTCTTTGTCTACACCCATCTCGGCTCAGTACGGATTCAGTGGAGGTAGACTGCAGCGCAGCATGGGCATGAGCATGGGCATGGGCGGGGGCGGGCATCGGACTGCCACTAGAAGCGGATTCAGTGCAGACGAGAAGCACAAGCCACCTGCTAACACGAACCAGGCCGGAAGGCCTCTCTTTCTCGTACCTGACGGACACCTCGTGTTCCATTGGCAGATCCTGTGGATGGTAGGTACGGGTTGAGATGACAGGCAAGAAAGGTACGGAGGCAACCAGCCTCGAGGGAGTACACTATTACGATTACCCTCCTGCCTTCCCGGGCTACCTAGGGGTTATGATACTACCTTAGTGCCATTAGGTATACTCTGTATGCCTAGCCTCTGTTGGCCGCATGGCAGATATGTAGCAAGGAGTCACCTGGTTTGATCTCAACTACCGACGGAAAGAAACTCTAGGCGCGGCTGTCTTCCTTTTGCTCTCGCAATTATCTGCCGCCAAGTGAGGATTGCTCGCGGTACTGCCGACGAGTCCTTGAATCCATCGTCCGCCGATCTGTATCGATCTTCATTTGCATAATTTGTCCGACTCATTACCGAGCCATCCCACTCGAGGCGAGGCAAACCGCACTGCATCTTGGCCTCGCAAACAATCAACCACCAAACTCCCCAGCTATCCAGCCGCCGTCTCTTGTTGAATACTGCACCGTCTTTACCACCCCCATGGTTTTTTTTTTTTCTTTTATTTTCTTTCGTTTTCTTTCTTGCCAGTCAGGTCACAAAATCCAAACTTTTTGGACGGACAAAGAAACTCCACCCTAAGCAGGTGCGGAATTGCCGCGATGGAGGGGGCTAAAGGTCGGTCCGCACGTTGGCCGCTGTGCGGCGCCTGCCCTCTGCAGACTGCAGCTAGTAGGTATCCTGCACTCTTTGTTGTCCTCGGAGCGCTGTCAATAATCTTCGAGAACCGAAAATGGACCGGCACATTGTTCTAGTCTCTCCCGCTGACTTGTGCACGGAACCCCATGTTTGAGGCATAGTCCCATGGCCACTCCAACTCCATCAACCGACGTTCCTGATTCATCATCCATCCGCCTGCCTGCCTCTGCTACCCAGGCAGTCCTCCCTTGTTTTTGGAATTCGGCTTCCCGATTTCGAGATCTCATCGAGCTTCCCCTCGCCCAACGGAACGGAACCGAACGGCTATCGGGCCTCACCTGCCGTGGCCCAAAGCTAGTGGGCCGGCCGTATGCGCTCCCATACACTCAGATAGCCCATCTCGCGTCCCCTGCGATGCTTGGCCGTCTGGCTTTCTTCAAAATGGCATACGGTATAACTGCATGCTCACCCTATGGCTTGGGCTGGGACACTAGAGCATTCATAACCTTCAAGTCACAAACCGATCGAGCCCCGACGTTAGCTTTTGCCTGAGAACCTACGTCTAAGCGGATTCCGGATCTAGTCGATTGTCCGACTCGCTCACGCCCCCGCGAAGACATCAGAAAACACAAAATATTCACCCTTTGTTTTAAGATTAGGTCTAATATGAGACCAGTTTCAACGCAAAGATATCGGATTTTACCTATACCCCGGGTGGCGCACAAACTGCAGAGGCAAGCAACACATGCAGGCAACAAGGACAAGCGGCTTGCATCAGCACGCCATATTTGACCGGGAGACGTGGCGTTGGATCGCCGTCAAAGCCCGTCTCTTGCTGAAAATTAAGCCATCCATGTCTGGGATGTCAGCTCAATCCCCGCCCCATGCATCCACCCAAACGGAAGCCATCCGGATGACCAAATAGCGCCCTGCCGGCCCGATGCTTTTTTCCACAGAAGCCGTCGAGAAGCTGGCAAGCATAGTTATGTGGCCAGCCGTCGCACCCGATACTGTTCTTCGCAGTACGCCCGATCCATACCGAAATGTTTGCTTTTCGCTGCGCCACCGACTGTCTGTTTGCTTCCACTCTCGGCCGCTAGGATCTGCTGGAAGCCGCCATCGAAGTGAGGCTTCTACTATGTACATCCCGCATCCCAGGTTGCAAGCTGCATGGTTCCCATCCCATGATGGGTGTATATCCCACAGCCCGGACTGGGCACCAACACCGACAGAGTGCAAGAGCACTGCAGTAATAATACCCTACTCGGAATCTCTGCACATGTGCTTCTTGGTCCAGCACACTACGGCTGGATAGTCTTGTATTGCCTCTGCGATAAGCCATCCGCCTCAAAGCCGCCGAAGTGACTTCGGCCCTGCCTGACCCATTAGGGCCTTTTGACGATGGCACAAAGAAGAGCCCAGTCGTGCTCGTTTGCGCGGCTTGGATGGGTGGGAAGAACGTTTCTGCTGCACTACTAGTACGAAAAGCCATCAGCCCAAGCTCCCCGGCAAGCGACGAAGGGCTGATGGTCAAAGAAATACATCGTTCGTCCTGACTCGAATTTGCTACGTTGATTGGTCATGAAAGCGCCGCCATGGCTTGGAATTAGGTTCGCCCAGGACAATCACGGTATCCAATAATTGTGCCATCGGTCTGAGCGTCGAGCGCTAGCCCCCGCCCCAGCCGCAAGTCGAACATACTGTACGGAGTACCAATGGACGCTCCGGCGCTCTAGCTGTATAGACCACGAAAACTCGGCGCGCGAACTGGCCAATCGAACCGTGAATGGATTTGATCGCTGGCACGAGAAGCTTGAAGGCAAATTGCCAAGATTAGCATGCGAAGTCGCGGAGGCTCCACGTACGGTTTGTGTATCGAAAGGGGGTGGGCGCGTTGGTACAGTGGAAAACAGTTCCTCCGGTCCATCGACCGTCGAACGGAGGTCCAAGATGGGAGTTTGGAACGGCCAGGCCCTACCGTTCCTCTGGCTGCGCTGAAACACCAAACCATACGGTGTGTTAGCTGGCCACGCAAGGGTGAAATCGACCCCCTGTCTGTCGAGACATCTCAAATTTCACCCGCAGTGGATTCTAGGCCAAAGCAAAGAGGTCGAATGCTGCCGAAATCATGTCGATCAGACAGTGATATCGGGGTATGATTTTTGCTGGCCTGAAGATGCGCGCTTCTCGAACCTGTTCAGGCCTGACGATCACCACCACCAAGTCCTGAACGAACTTCTGGGGGTCACGACGGGGCTCGCGACACTGTTGTTCTCACTCTTAAAAATGCGGTGTCAAGAGTGGGTTTCTGGGAGTTCAAGCGGTAGAGTGGTTCTTGCTTTTTCCACCCTTTGCCTGTCGTAATCCAGACTCCTTGCTTCTGGCAATCGGTCCGGTGTCTCACGGCGGTTGGGCCAGCCGTACGAGACTTTGAGGGAGTCGGAGGCAAGACAACAGACTGTTGCGAGTCCAACAGAACAGCAGCGAGCGAGGGCCAGCCGTTGGGCCCAGAATTTACTTAAAATGAGCGCCACTCGCAACGGCGTTGCGTAAGCAGAGCCAGCAGAAGGGATTGGCGAGCGGGCGGGGAGATTGGCACCTTCGAAATAAGGTAATTTCGCGCATTCGCTGGATCTTTGTAAGCGGGTGGGCGGAGATCATTCGCTAAGAGTAACTACTACCTGACTATTCCCGCCAGTAACAGGGAGGCCACATGGCATGTGAACTCCTTTTCGACAGGGCGCGAGGATCTCGTTCAAGTCATTGTCATTGGCAACACCTGGGGACTCGTAGCCATGGCATGCCCGAAGAGGCAAAACTGTGGAGTTGCAAAATCGGTCCACCCGGAATCACGAGAGGGACTCCTTTTCATTGAAGGGACCCGGTAATTGTGGAGGCTCTTCTCGTTTCCGAACCGGGCCCCATCCAATGCCGTCGTCGCGTTTTGGCTGGCGAGTCCACAGCTCGGAACCTGGTAACGTAGATGGAGCGTTCTTCGCGTTCTCTAGTGCATTATCATGCAGGAACAAGCGAGCGAGGCTGCTCTGCAAGGTCTGTCTGGGGCGAACTGCATTAGGGGGTTCTTACCATCATCTTGCATTCCCTCAGAGAAGCCCCTGAGCGGTGCTCCCTCTGTCGAGAATCAGCGTCATTCCTTCCGGGCCGGGATAAGCTGATTCGGGCAGTGGGTACTCGGACCTGTGTATCCGACGGCTCGTCTCTCGCCGAAGGAATGTCAATCGATTCGAGAAGCCACCGGAATTCCAAAAGGGAGATATTCCAGAAGGCCCGCAGAAGAACACACCATCCCTGCGCCTGTCGCTTGTGTAACGACTGTCTGGCAGATCACACAGGTGACAGACAGCCAACTCAACTTTGATCACGGAAGATCCATGGCACAGGGAACATCTCGGTTCATCGTTGCGGGCATGGACGTCCATTGTGGCTGTTCGAGTCTTGTTTCGGACGGTGCCTGATCCTTACGGACACAGAGGATCTTGAAACGGAGCCGATTTCCATGCTCGCCGTACTGTGCAGCCGGCCTCTTAGGTACGGCCATTAGACCTGATCTGTCTCAGTGTGACTTGCGTGCCAGGTGTCTGCCGACGAACGCAGCGCAGTGTGATCCTACTCCTTTCCCATCAACGCCCTGTAATCTGCCGTGGGCGTTGTGGCGCTTCTCAGATCACTGAGAGGCTGTCGTGAGACGAACGACGGCGGCGCACGGCTTCTCCCCCCCCCCCCCCCCCCCCCTGTAGATCACTCGAGTTGAGCAAGCAGCACGAGGCGATCGTGCTCTTTCCCGGATCCACGGTGTCAGGATGCTGTGTACGACACGCTGGAGCGGTCAATGACGGCTCATCAGCTGCCGGACAGCGTCACTGAGCCGAGCCGCACCGCATGCAGCCCGGCGTACCAATGAGGGCGGGGACGGGAGCGGAGCCCCGGTCGGCACTGGCGTCATCGCCCGAGTCTTGCTCCACAATCATGCGGCCGAGGCCGCAAAACAAGCTTGCTTAGCGCCGTCCTACCAACCTCCTCCTCGCCCGTATCCCGACGCGCCTCGCTAGGCTTGTCTCGTTGCCGGCTACATCATTTCCCTGTCATTCTTTTTCTGCCAATTGCAACCGGAACCGCATCGAAATTGACCGTAATGTCTATCCCTATGAACCGCTTAGGCGGTCGCGGTACGTCTTTTTTCTTGTCTCGCTTCTCGCGCTTCTCCTTTTGCCCTTGAAAGCCGCGGCTTCAATCCGCAACCGCCACGGACGTTGGGGGGAGGGGCAAGAGAGTGACATGCCGCTAGGAGGATCGCGCTCACTGACACGCTGAGGATCTTATTGCAGCCTTCAACCATGCCAACGACGATGACGATGACGTCGAGCGCGAGTACGACCGCCTCCGTGACGCCGCCCGCGAGGAAGCCAACAAGCGCAACCAGTGCTTTGAGCGCGTGAGTACATACTTGACCCCCACCTCTTATGCATTCATTCTCAAAACCAGCTACAATGTTGCGTCTCTTTTTCTCCCCTTTTCTCTGTCCCTCCCCCCCTCTCTTTCACAACGCGCTCATCCCCAATGCATCGCAGTCCCAGCAAGCCTACCAATCCGGCGACGGCGCGGCGGCCAAGGAGCTCTCCAACGAGGGCAAGCGCCACGCGCAGCGCATGGAGGACCTCAACCGGCAGGCGTCGGAGTACATCTTCCGGGAGAACAACGCCCCGGGGCGGGTGACGGGCAGCTGCATCGACCTGCACGGCCAGTTCGTCGAGGAGGCGGAGCGGATCTTGGAGGAGCGGGTCCGGGCCGACCGCGCGCGCGGCCAGGACCACCTGCACGCCATCGTCGGCAAGGGCAACCACTCGACGGGTCACATACAGAAGCTGAAGCCGCGCATTGAGGAGCTCTGCCGCGAGATGGGGCTGAAGTACTCGACCGAGGACAACGCCGGGCGGATCTACATCAACCTCCAGGGCGGGGACGCGACAATGCCGCCGCCGCCGCAGGTCGGGAGCGGACACCACGGCGGGCAGCATCACGGCGGGCAGCATCACGGCGGACAGCAGCACCAGCAGCCGCACCATGGCGGGCAAACGCATGGCGGCCAGCAGCAGCACGGCGGCCAACACCATGGCGGACAGCAGCACCAGCAGCCTCAGCAGGACGAGACCGGCGACCTGGTTGTCAAGCTTCTCAAGAAGCTGGAGAAAGCTTGCTGTATTGTCATGTAGAGGGCCCGTCGCCTTGGAGTGAATGGGCTTCGTCCCGTTTGGCTCGAGACCGCCCAGTCTTTTGTGGTTTGGCCACTTGGGCCCGGCTGCGCATTCACCTGCCTTTCTTGGATACCCGGCGGGTTGAACGTCTTTGAACAATGTGCTTTTTGGTAACTGAAGAGACCACGAGGTGCCAGCTTGGTCCTCCGTCATATATATTTAACAATCTCAGACACGCTCTCACTCCGCTTGTGTATGTGTATGATTGTGTAACATGTTTTTCATTTATGTATACTTCAGTGTTCCGTATGCTCTTCCGGTGTGAACAAGACATGTGACGGGTATGGTGGAAGAGGAGCGAGGAGATCAAACTCCCCAGTGAAGATGACAACCGGCGGAACAGAGCGAAAGGCAAGCACCTCACTTTGTACTTCTTATTAAATGCTTAGGCAAATACCGTCTTTTTTCGTTGTCGGTAACTACTCTCGGATAGAGCTTGCGATTGGATCTCAGTTTAGTCCCCTCCCCTCCCTTTCTCTTGTTCATCCTCAAGACCCTCGACAAAATTTGACCGAGGGCATCATGTCCTCAGTCAAAGCCTCTGGGAACAAACGACGCCTATTGCTTGTTACCCAGCATGGGCCCCGCCCGGGAAAGCGATGCATTTATTTGTTACCCGAGTCCCGAGCTCCCAGGACGAGCACCAGAAAAAAAAGAAAAAAAAAAACCTCCTTAAATCCTTATCGGTTATCGCAGCTCCAGCAGTCTCGAGGCCCTGGCCGCTCATTGGCCAACGCCGACCGGGGAAAGCTTTCCATCTGCGCAATCGCTACAGGTAAGAGGGAAAGCCGACCTTTGTCAAAGAAATTTCACCGTCATCGTCAATCAACCAACCCATCACTCGTCCATTTACGAACCTCACGACCGCATCCAATACAAACACACCAAAAGACACACATCGAACCCACGGTATCTAAGATGGACGCGTGAGTCGATGCCACCCTCCCGGGGGGGGAATCTCGAACTAGAGATGAACAACACTGGGGAGAGAAATGGCATAGCTGACGCGCATCTCATCTCCAAAACAGCCTTACCAAGACCGAGGAGGCCCAGCTCCAGCAGAGACTCCAGAAGCGCCAGGTCAAGGAGTTCATGAACGTACGTTGTTCCGTATTGTCCCATCGTCGTGGCCTCTCCCATAGCCCCCCTTCACCCCCCCCCGGAGTTTCCGTCCTTCAATCTTGTCCCAATCGAATCCCCTTCGATGAAATCCAAGGCCTTCCGCTGACGTATCTGCCATCTCTCGCCCAACAGCTCTTCGGCAACCTCGTCGACCACTGCTTCACCTCATGCATCGACGACTTCACCTCAAAGTCCCTCTCCTCCCGCGAGACGGGCTGCATCACCCGCTGCATCCAGAAGCAGATGTTCTCCCAGCAGCGCCTGAGCGAGCGCTTCCAGGAGCACAACGCCCAGATGACGGCCCAGATGCAGCAGCAGTAGTAGATTGACTCTATGCCCGCCCTTCCCTCGGTTCTCTCGAGCGGGGGAAGCAAGGGGCGCCGCAAAAACGACAAACGAGACGTGATTGTAAAAACAGAAAACGGCAAAAGAGCAGCGGTCCTCGTGGAAACGACGCCCTCGGAAGCGCGCGCAGAAATGTAATACTTTACCATTCCCAGCATGCGTAGGATGTGCCAGGGCCGGGGTGTTGGTGTTGGGGGCTGAGGTGCGAGATCTAACAACGTCCGATCTTCGTCAGCTAGCCGACGGAGGGCCACACCGAGAGTGGCTTGTTTCGACGTTGCAGCCACGGATGGGGGAGGCTTTTCTTGTATACTACGACTTTTCCCCAAAGGGACGCTGGATAGACGTGTGGCATGGCATTTGCGGGTGTGCAGAAAGGACACTACCAGATGAATGGGAAAGCAAAACAAAACCCTACTCCATGAGCCGATTCCCGCCATCCTTCTCACGTTGAATGACAGCTCGGGACTGACTTGGAGTGCTTGCACTCCCTCTTCGTGTCATGTTGGTAGTTCCCAGCCGGTGTGCTGAGGGTATCCGCTGATTTGAATTCTACATGAAATACGGGGGGGTCCAGTGATTGCTGGAAAATGCACGCACGTTTGTCCTACACACATGAACGCCTAGCCCTGGTTTTGTCGTTGTTCCCCCTCCTGGTCCATTTCCCTCGGCCGATGAAAGGCCACCCTCGCTCATCTCATTAGTACTATCTGCATTCCTCGTCCACTCAAGACTCCTCCAGGTCTTCGCTCAGCACATCCCTGACCGCCTCCAACTGCGAGAGCACCTTGCTCTCCAGGACGTTTCCTGGTTGCCCGCTCTCGTCGGCCGTACCAATCTTGGTGCTCTTCCACTCCACCTCGCGCTGTCCGAGCGGCAAGAGTCTGTCTCGCAACAGCTTTCGACTCGATAACCAGAAATCGACGTTTTCCAGGAGCGAGCTAGCATCCCATTGTATCTCTGGAATGTCCCTGGTGTTGGCTGTCCGCAGAGCGGCAATGACTCTTGTCAAGAGCGCAAGCGAGTGAACCTCTGCGACGGATAGAAGCGTCACATAGTGAGGTGCTTCTCTTGATGCGGTCCGGCTCGCGCCAGGGGCCTCGAAACGATCCACGCTCGACTTCAGAAGCAGTGGAAACTGGTTCAGAACATAGCCTATCTCAGGCGCAACGGTGCCGCCCAGAGCGGTCAGGAGGTTCAGCAGCAGGGGCAAGACACCTTTCACCCAAATGCTGTAGCACCTTTGCGGTCCAATGGCTTCCGAAAAAGGAGAAATGTTGCCACGACGCATGAAATTGGTGATGCCCGCTGAAGTCAGGTGGCTGAGCAGGCCATCACAAGCCATTTGTTCTGCCACCGCTGGGAGGGTAGAAAGCTCCAGCAGGAACAACAAACTCAGCTCACCGTATATAGGATCGCCATTGATGGCAAGTTTATCGGCCCACGAGAACAGCGACGTTGCTGCGTGCATGGCGTCGTAAGATGCCATAATATTAAGGATCTGTGTCTGACATTGATCCATCATTGGCATGTTGAGGCAGGCTTGCAGAAGAGCAGTGAGCAGAGCTAGGTCTTCGGGTGCGACAGCAGCTTCAGAGTCGTGCACAAGCGCGACCAGTGTTCTGAAGCCCTTGGCAACAACGCGGTCAAGGACGTTGAGAACAGTCTGGGTCAAGGTGACAGAAAATCCCTCCCCCCCGTTCTTCGAAGTCCCGAGACCCTTCTTGTCGGCGACGCTGTATGCGCGCAGCGTGACATAGATGGTCTTGAGCATCGTGCGGTAGTACGAAATGGAGCCAGGGCTGAAGGGTTCCTCGACGGCACTGATGATAGTGAACAACGTCCCTAGAATCTGGTTGACGTCGTGAGACGAGATGGGCCTGCCAACAAGACGCTGGACGAGCAGCAGGCTCAGGTCAGCCCGCTCTTCAACGATGCGCATGAATATGTTCTCGGGACCCTGGTTGGACCGGTTTGCCTCGAGGCACTGCTGAGCAACCTGGAGCATCTGCTTGGCAATATTGTCATTGTCTGGCAAGGAGCTGCTGAGCTCAAGCAATAGAAACTCCCAAGCGTGGAACAAGGACTATTGAATGTAAGTAATTGTTTGTTTTTCTTCGAAGGTGTCCGGCAAGGGCAACTTACAATTTGCGCATCAACGAGGGAGAGATTCGCGTTGGCGATTTCCATCTCGTGGCGGAAACCATTGTTGCGGCGGCCGTGCCAGCCAGGGTCGAAACTCAACATCTCAGTCGCGCTCTCCAGATCGTAAAAATAGCTTCTTCCAAGCTCGCCCGGTCTGAGCGCGGTCCGCTTGAAAGCCTCAAGCGAGACGCCTGGGTATTTGCTCGTAAAGTTCTTGGCAAAGTTGCTGTGCAGCGAGTTGTTGTAGCTCGACACCTCGACGCCGTCTCGAAGATAGTAATCCAGATCGGCCACTAAGCTTTTAGCAAATGTGTCGGCACCACCCATCTGGCGCAGATGGTAGAGCTGCATGGCGAAGATTTCAGCAATGTAAGCAGCCATCTTGGCGTCGATGGCGGCCTTTACAGCATCTGTTTTGCTGGTTACAGTGAAACTGCTGAGATCCTTGACGTACAGGCGCAAAGAGTCCAAGAAAGACGAGTCCTTTTGCATGGTGAAGATGGTCCAAGGCCAATGATTTTGGGATGATGCGACAAAGTCTAGGATTCGCAGTGCCTCAGCAATATCCAGCTCTTTGATATTCTTGAGCTTGGTGAAGGCTGTTGCGAGTACTGAGTTGGGTGTGGAAGAGGCGTCCTTCTTGGCGCCTTTGAGGGCATCTCTGGGTGTCTTGCCCGTCAAGAGACAATTGGATAGCCATTGCTGACGATTCTGGACGATGGTGGAGAAGAACTTCCATGTTGTCTGCACATCCTCAGCAACGAGGAAAGGCTTATCTAGTCGCGACAGAACCTGGATGAACGACCGAGACAGCAGAGGGCCAAGATAGCCCAACAGTGAGGGGGGGTCGTCGTGTGCTTTAGCAGCACTAAGGACCAACGCCTCGAGAAGTAGCAGTGCTGGCCGCCGAAACTGCTCGCAAATGGCGCAAAGTCTTGCTAGAATCGACGACGTCTTGAAGAGGTGGTCCTCAAAAATCTCCGAAGATCGCTCGAGGTAGTTCGCAACCCGCAGCAGCGTTGTTGTGAATTGCAAGGCCGAAACAAGCTGCTCCTGTGCAGAAGCCAGCCTGCCTTGGTACAATGTCGAGTCAGGCAGTTGAAGACCGTTCACCAATGTAGTGAGAAGCGGCTGAAACCTCAGAGAACCAGTGGACGGCGAGAGGAAAGCGTCAATAATGTAGGACGCCGCAGGCTCCAAGCACGCTGTAAGCGTCTCTGAACTTTCTCGGTCACCCATTCCGTACGTATGCAGAATAACGTAGTCCATGACAGGAACGACATGGCGAATGAGCAATGTCTTGTGCAGCTCCGACCCGAATCGCCAAGTCGACGAAGTCTCGAAAACATCGACCGCGGCCTGGGCAATGGCAAGACTGACCTTGCCGAGCACCTTGTCTGCCACACCCAGCCAAACGTTATTGGAAACCTGTTGACGTCCAACCAGCTTGTTGCCGGATTTGCGCTGAACAGCGCTGCTTTTAACACTGTCAATAAGACTGGCGAAAAGACGCACAGCTGAAAGCAGGAGTTCATATCGGTCCCCGACGAGGTCGAGATTACCGGTGATCTTTGCAAGCTTGCCTGCTTGAGCTTCTGAGTTGAGCAGCTCGCAACGCGCCAGATAGGACCATACTCTCGTGGGGCACAACGGCAGGATTGCATGCAGGAACTGGACGCAAGAGTTGAGGACTGCAATGCCTTGACCTTCCGTAGCTTTCTCATCTTGCATGTAGGCATCCATGGTCTCGCACACGACTGCGACAAGGTCTTTGTTTCCAGAAATGTGCTTGCCAATCTCCTCCAGCAAGTCCAACCCTGACTTGAGCGATGTTTCACCGCTCAGGCCTTGCTTCTCAGACTTGAGCACCTCGGCGCGGAGCAGAACCGCAAAGAGCGCGATCGTCTCTGCAGTCTCCTCGGGCTGGAAGGCATCCAATTCGCTGCGGTAAGTCTCAGGTGCAAGTTGGACTTCCAGTCTCTTGCCAAGGAGGGCAAGGGCAGAATGCTCGTATTCCATGAGAACAACGCGGCCCGTGTCTGTAACAAAGCGTCCAACTGTTTCCGCTGGTATCCTAAAAGCATCATCATGACGGACCCTCCGATTCCATGCCGTAGCCGGTGTGAACAGTGGAATGTCTTCGAGAAGATAGAATGTGTTGGTGTTGTCCTCCTCCTGGGCCAGCTCATATTGCTGATAGTCGTCGGGAAGGATGAAGGTGAGGGTTGGGGTTTTGCGTAGCAAGTTAACCACGGTATCCATCCGGTCATCTGCAACAACACAGTGGGCCAAAGTCCGGCAAAGATTGAGGAACGGCAAGAGTTCGAAAGGGTACCGGTTCAAGGCCTGATGGAAGTAGTATTCCATGGCAGTAGCGTCCTGGAGAAACTCGGCCAAAATGTCATTTGAGGGGTGAAGCGCAGGCCTGGAAAGGTCCCAGTACTGCTGACCGGCCCCAAGTACAGACAGGAGAGAGGTGACCGACTCTGACTGGTATCCAACAAGCGGGTATGTAGCCTTGAGAAAGTCGACATAGGCTAGTCGGATCCTAGAGCTCAAAAGCGACGAGAAGGCTCCGTCGCTGGAGCCCCCAATAGCAAGTGCCATCTCAGAAAGCACTTCGTAGGCTCGTCCATTGGATGTAACGGCCACCGCGAGCTGCTCCACAACCTGCAGGTCTTTGTCGAGCCCCGCGTTGTTAAGGAAGATATCGAATGACTTGCCATCAAGAGAGACGATACTTCCAGCGGAAAGCCGGCGACTGGGAGTAGGTCGAATTAGCACACCGGCCTCAAATGTCTCCTGTGATCGCTGGTTCTGAAGAGCATCTCGCTTCTCGATTCGGTCATGATGCGAATAGAACATGCGGTGGACAACAACAGTCCAAGCAAAGATGACGACGCTCTGACTTTCACAGTCTGCATTCGCCGCTGCCAAGATTGCGTTGTGCACCTGTTCAAGCACTGCGGGTGCAGTAATATAGGGGTCCTCATCTCCTCGGTACTCTGGTGCTTCTTCCGATAGACATTCTATGGACCTCGAGGGGTTTAAGAGCTTAATTGAGATCGCACAAATGAGAGACCTCAGGGGCATGATGAGAGAAGCGATCATATCAGTTGGCTGATCGAAGTTAGTTATCGCCCTAAAGGAGCTGCCTCTCGACTTACCGCCGTTATCCCGTTCAGGAATCCGTAGTTTTCCATGAGGGTGAACCACTGACCGACCACAGCAGAGGGTACAAACGCATCCCCATTGCCATCGATGGACTGAAAGACAACCGTCAAAGCATGGACAACTTCGGTCAGGGCTGTCCTCATCCACTCCAACTCAAGTTCGTCCCCTAGCAAGTTCTTATCCTCAACAACTGCTTCAAGACCCTCGGCAAGCCGACCAACGGCTTCAGTGACATATTGTAGATATGTCGTCAGGAGATTGTCGAGGTATTTCGGACGATCATTCGCTGCGATCAGTTGCGTCTGCATTGACGGCTTGTCGACCGTTGTAGATGCTGGCGCTAAAGGCTGCTTGTACAACACGGTCTCTTGGACCAATGCGGCAGTCATCAGGAAATGACGTCTTTCTGAAAGGTACGTTTGGAAGATCCGCTGTCGCCTCGACTCTTCCTTCTCAAAGTCGGCCCAAATCGTCTCTGCGTCCTGCGCGGCACCGGCAATAGGCACCAAAGCAGATGATTGAATGTTCGCAACTCCCGAAGCTTCCTGCAGGTTTATTATGTCCTGAGAGGAAAGTGTTCCTGTCAGGTGGCTTGCTGGCCGCATCTGGAACTCAACCACTGTCGCTCGAAGCGCAGCGATGAGGTTGACTTTAGCATTCTTACTAAGCCATTGTGCATCCTCCTTGATAACCTTGATGTCGAATTTCTCGTTCGGCTGGGGGGTAACGTGTATGGCGGCTGTCCTTGTCTCAAAGTTGGATTTGGTAGAATCGCTCGGCGGCGCAAAGGCGGTCGCTGGGTCTTTTATAAGGGATCGCACGTAATCGTCTTGAAGAAACTGTACGACAGCATCGCTCTTCCGTCTCGCTTCGTCTCTGTCTGAAAGCGCAGCTGCAATGAGCTTCCAGGAGCTGATTTACAGGTCAGTCGTCTCGGCGTCTTCAAGTCAACAAACGGGAGGCTACCCACATAATGATGGTGTCTCCATTCAGGCATTCCTCCAAAGGAGGAAAATAATGACTGTCTGCCACTTGCGCCATTACCGCAGAGGTCGATTGGGCAGGACGGTCAATTTCTAGACTGCATCAGGCGAGGCTGCGGTGAGCTATGGTGCCTGAGAAGCAAAATGAGCAAGTCGACGCGCTTGTACACTTTGGACCCGCGAATGCTTTTGCAGCCTTTCCGATGGTGGTTGGTTGGAGCTCACTTTTTTTTGGGAGCTCCAGTTCCTCCAGGGTTTTTCCGGTAGACTGCACTAATTCTCCTTTGGATGTTAGCGTCTGTCTTGTGCACGGGTGCCACAATAGGCAGTCCCGGCTCCCGGGGTTGCGAAAGCGGCGGGGCAGTCTTTTTGGGGTCCTTGCAGCATGTCTCTGCATCTTCAACACACTGTAAAAACATACTAATTAACAGCAGATCAGACAGTGCGTTTAATTCTCCGATTTACTGTCCTATTTTAACTTTACATTTGATTGCCGCCATTGTTCTCGTTTAAATACTTGACTCACCTCACCCAAGCTCGAGACCAAACCAGCATCAAACCGGTCTTTTTCATCACGAGAATCGGACCAATACTAAGAATACACGGCTCGGTTGACTCAATTCTCAGTCGTTTCAGTACTTTTCCAAGATGCCGTCCTTAGATATCATCGATCATTCACCCCACCATCCGGACCCGTCGTCACCGATTCCGACGGCCTCCAACTTGATTCTTATTGACAATTACGACTCTTTCACCTGGAACGTTTACCAGTACCTCATTCTTGAAGGCGCGAATGTCACTGTTTACAGAAACGACAAGATTACTCTGGCAGAGTTGATTGATAAGAAGCCGACACAGCTAATCATCAGTCCTGGACCTGGGCATCCCGCTACCGATTCTGGAGTAAGCCGAGATGCCATCAAGCACTTTGCCGGCAAGATTCCCATTTTCGGAGTATGTATGGGGCAGCAGTGCATTTTTGATGTCTACGGAGGCGAGGTCGGGTCTGCGGGTGAATGGCTTCATGGCAAGACGTCTCCTTTGACGCATGATGCCAAGGGTGTCTACGCTGGTCTGCGTCAAGGTCTTCCGGTCACTCGATACCACTCGCTCGCCGGCACTCGTGTCACCCTACCAAGCTGTCTCGAGGTCACTTCTTGGGTTGCAACAGAGGACGGCTCTCCCGGTATTATTCAAGGTGTGCGACACAAGGAGTACACCATCGAAGGCGTGCAGTTCCACCCGGAGAGTATCCTCACCGCAGAGGGTCGCACCATGCTCCGCAACTTTCTGCAGCTTCAAGGTGGTACATGGGAGGAAAACGCCCGACTGAAGAAAGATGCCACAACTGGCAACGACGCCAAGACGACGGCTTCAGCGCCGGCCACGGGCAAGAAGAACAACATCTTGCAACAGATTTACGCCCACAGAAAAGCCTCCGTCGCCGCCCAGAAGTTGATTCCCTCACAGAGACCTGCGGACCTCCAGGCTGCCTACGACCTCAACGCCGCCCCACCCTTGGTTCCATTTGTTGACCGTCTGCGCCAAACTCCGTTTGACGTGTCCCTGATGGCAGAAATCAAGCGAGCCTCACCTTCGAAGGGCATTTTTGACATCAACATCAATGCTCCAACACAGGCCCGCAAATACGCTCTCGCGGGCGCTAGTGTCATCTCCGTTCTGACTGAACCCGAGTGGTTCAAGGGCAGCATTGAGGATCTTCGAGCTGTGAGACAAGTACTGAATGGCATGCCCAACAGACCAGCAATCCTTCGCAAGGAATTCATCTTTGAGGAGTATCAGATCCTCGAAGCTAGACTAGCTGGCGCCGACACTGTTCTGCTAATCGTTAAGATGTTGGAGACAGACCTGCTCGAGAGACTGTACAAGTACTCTCTTTCTTTGGGGATGGAGCCTCTAGTTGAGGTCCAGACCGCTGAGGAGATGACGGCGGCATTGAAGCTTGGTGCCAAGGCTATTGGCGTCAACAACCGCAACCTGGAGAGCTTTGAGGTTGACATGAACACAACAAGCAGACTGAGAAGCATGGTTCCAGAGAACACCATCATCTGCGCTCTCAGCGGCATCAACAGTCATAAGGATGTTGTCTTGTGTAAGAATGATGGTGTTGACGCTGTCCTGGTTGGGGAAGCCATCGTTAGAGCACCGGATACAACAGCGTTCATCAGAGAGCTGTGCTCAGGGACCGCTGCTGAACCGGAGCCAGTCAAGACTCAACCATTGTTAGTCAAGATTTGTGGTACACGGACCCCCGAAGCAGCACTTGAGGCTATCAAGGCCGGTGCTGACTTTGTCGGAATTTGCCTGGTTCCGGGGGCAAAACGGTGCATATCCGATGAGACAGCGGCAGCGATCTCGGAGGCCGTACACTCCTTCAAGCCCTCGGCCACACGCACACTGACAAACATACCCACAAAGTCCGCCACGGATTACTACACCGCTTCGGTTGCTAGATTGTCAAGTTCCCGCCCGCTTCTCGCCGGTATCTTCCAGAACCAGCCTCTGGATGAAGTTCTCGAGAAGCAGAAGCGCTTCAACCTGGATATTGTCCAGCTCCACGGCAACGAGCCTGTTGAGTGGGCAAACCTGATCCCTGTCCCCGTAATTCGAGCCTTTAAACCCAGCAACGTTGGCATCGGTCTTCGCGGCTACCACACAATCCCGCTACTCGACTCCGGTGCCGGCTCTGGCAAGCTTCTTGACGTCTCCAGCGTTAAGGATATTCTGGCAAAGGACACAGAACTGCAAGTTATCCTCGCCGGTGGCTTGAACCCCGACAATGTGCTCGACGCCGTCAAGGCTGTGGGCGACTTCGGCAACCGCATTGTGGGCGTCGACGTAAGCAGCGGAGTGGAGGAGGATGGGAAGCAAAGCTTGGAGAAGATCAGGACATTTGTCAAAAATGCGAAGAGCTTTAGATAATCCAAGGCCCTTGCCATCAATGCAAAAGGCCCTGGACATGATCAATTGTTCCCAAATAAACAGTGAAATGGCATCAATTATTGTGTCAATGTAAGAGTGCGTCAAACAAGGCTGTTGAAGTTGCATAAACATGACAAGCTATTTTGTTTACAATGTATACGATCTAGTAATCTGAGAACATAGATGTGAAGCAGAAAAGTATTTCATCCCAACTTGCGGTTTATCATCCTTACCATTGCCAGTTTGGTCGCTTCCTTCCACTCAATGAAAGGTGTAATGCCATCAGGCACTCCTTCCATATTGGTTCCTACTAATGGCGTCCTTCTCAATCAAGGGCTCTTCTCGGCCTCTTTTTCTCTCTTCATATAAGCAAACTGCCAACCCCCTCTGGTCTCAGTCTTCCATTTTGTCCCGGGCACACACACCCACATGCACTTGCTATCGCTTTATTTTGCTCAACTCTTGCAATCTCCACCCAAACCGCTCAACAGACTTACAACAAATTAACTCTCATCAGAAAAATACGGCTTGTCACACATAACACATCGCAACCCACAATGGTCAGAGGGATTTTCAAAGACCTCGTCATTGCAGCTGCTGGGGACTTTCCTAGTGATTGCCCCAACGAGCAAGCGGCCAAGGAATGGACAAAGCTACGGAAAGGCCGATTCTCATCAGACTTGGATGATTCTGTGACCCATCTCGTCTGCACAGACAAGGATTTCAAAGACAGGAAGAAGAACCGCCGAAGTACTCTCACCCCCACTGATGCTATACCCTTTGTGTACAAGAAATTATTCAACTCACCGTATTATTACTTTTACTGGGAAAGAGCTAATTGTAACTCATCATCTCTAGTCAAGCAGGCGGAGAAGGGCAAGAGAAAGATTCATATTGTCAGCTGGGACTGGTTCACGTTCTCTTGCACTCACAACAAGAAGCTTCGTGAAAAGCACTATGACTTCTCTGCAACAAGAGCCAATGAGAAGGAGAAGTCTCGACAGCAACTCAAGGCACAAAAGAAAGCCCGCAACGCTGTAATTGGACAAACATGGATGAATCCAGGTCAGCGGCTCCTCCAATTCTCAAACTACATCCATAATAAGTACGCTCACTCACTAGATTAATTGTTAGATCTCTACCGCATCTTCACCGACAAGACCTTTTTTGAGTACAAGGTTGATATCTTCAGGACTTCAGAGGATGAGTATGGAGCTCTGCATGAGAAGTATGAACTTTATGTGAGTCGAAAGCCGTCAAAAACGTCTCTGATGTTTGCGCACAACGTATCAAGAACACACCCTGATTTTCACCTTCGATATTGATAGCTCTTTGAGTCTCATGCAATGCCGCGTCTGTACTGGTTTGGCGCAAAGCTATTCCACAAGAAGGACAGTGGCAAATGGCAGGCACGTGGTGTTGAGCGCACAAGCCTTACACCAGGACTTTTCAAGCAAGAGTTTCAGCATTTCGTCAAGTTCTTCGAAATCAAAACCAGTGTTCGATGGTGGGACAGAGTCATCAAGGCTGGAACAAGAGAGAAGATCTTCTTCAATTACTCGCCGCCAGTAAGCAGTCTTTGCCCCTCAACCTCATTTCCCTCGTCATGAGGATAGCATAACTTCAAGTTTGGCTTACTTGGTTGATAGATCTGTGGCAAGCCGGTTGGTGGTAGTATGAAGGGTGATCTGTACGACAAATGTGTTTGGAGCAACAAGCGCTGGCTCCGACGCTGGGCAGAGTTGTTTGGAGATGAGCTGCCTGCCAACCTCCAGATTGAAGATGCAGCCAAGAAGATTCTGGAAAATCTCGACGATGAAGCTGGCGAGTTCTTAGAGGCTCAGCCACGCTGTGGTGATGAGGCGTCTAATGAACTTCACCACGGAGCTGCCGAAAGCATCACAAACAACTCCCCTAACAACAAGACCGAAGATGAGCTCAACGAAACCACCGTGGTTGACAAAGAAGCCTCGAAAGCATAAGAACAAAGAACCTTGGTATCTCGAATGGCTGCAACTTGCTTGCCCTTAACGTTAAACAACGACTTGAGCCCTGAACGCCATATTAACGTGGGCGCACACTTTTGAGACCTCGATATCACGCAAAGATTATACAAAAGGGTAAACCATATGGGCCCGATGCCTAAAGCACCAAATCAATAGCTTTTACAGAACTATGGCATCAGTTGGAAACAACATAATGTCAGTGCTTGGAAGGAGAGAGAGAGGAGAGTCACTCGCAGTCACGTTAGACACGTGACAGGGCAGATTATCTGCGGTGGTAATGAGCATTCTTGAATTCTTGACTTAAGGACACTTGATTGCTGAGGTCCACGGGAGCAGGTCGAGTTTATATGCAGGGGAGTGGTCTTCGGGACGGTTGGCAACACCGTCAATTTTCTTTTTTCTTTGTTTCCTGTCTTTAACTTTCTTGCAGTTACATAGAACACAGGTCCTCAAACTTTCTATCGATTACAGGGTCCGGTAGCCTGAATACAATTTTCTCTCTCTCTCTCTCTCTCTCTCTCTCTCACACACACACACACACACACAACAAGCCTCTTTGACGGCAAGTGTGAGACATGCCTAATAATGGGATTTTCTCCCTTCTATGACGTGCAGCTAGAAATAGCGGCGCACAACAGCCTGCAGAAGCTCCATCACACTTACGACAAGGAGCAGCACAAATATAAGTCTGTACCTATGGCCTTATATCTTAGTCATGAAGCCTATCCGAAATTTTCAAGTGCAACAGCCCTTGGTTGATTGTCATAGTGCAGCCAACTTGTGATGTGCTCTAGAAGCCATAGCATAATGAACAGGCAGGAGTTGTGCACGCCTGTCAACCATCCGAGGAAGAGAGAAACAGGGAATTGGAAACTTAGTCGTTGCGAGATTGCTTTGCGTCAACAGTCGTCAACTTTGTACACAAACAAGTAGTTTCGGGACACCTATTTGGGCGGTCCTCAACAGTCGTTTTAGCAACCATGCCCCCGATTAATGCTCCTGCATAAAGCGCTTTCCTGTAATCACATCGAGCTTTATCATTCCACAATCTCTTTGACCCACAACCTAGACGTCAACAGTCGTGGCAACCCCCTTGACTGCCATTACCCCGTCATCTCCCTCGATCCACACGTCCCACCTCCTTTCCTTCTCGCTCCCAACCCGTGCGGCTTCCTTTTCGCGAACGCAAAGCTTCATCTCGCGACCGCAATACAGTGGCGTCAGGTTCCGGTACCCGTACCAACGCACGCGTTGCCCGTTGCCCAACCCATTGAGGAACGTGAGCATCAGCGCGAGAGAAAGGGGTCCGTGAACTAACGTCGCCGCGTGTCCTTCCTTCGCGGCCCACGCTGGGTCCAGGTGGATTGCGTGCGCGTTGTACGTCAGGGCGCTGAAGTTGGTGAGGAGGTTCTGCGTTGGCGTAAGAGAGAGAGACGCCGTCGACTTATGGGGGGCTATTGGCACGAGGGTCAACTTCAAGCCGGTTACATGGAAAACTCCAACGGGACTGGTTCATGGACCAGTGACAGATACATACGTTTCAAGCCGCGCCGAGTCGGTGCGGAAGTATCAACATCTGGAAGAAAGGCCAGCGTCCTCCTTTCCTCGATTGCGGGACTTTTATTACCACCGGCGGCATCTGCCGCCGCGTACCGACGCCAGAGCTCGACCCAAACCCTCCCCTTCTCGGCCCGCACATCATCCACGCTCTCGATGCACTCCGCCCGCCGTCCATCTAGGCAAAGCTCATGTTCCCAGGCCTCGCGAAAGCTGACCTCGCCGCCCGCCCAGAGGCGACGCGTAAACGGCGCTCCGGGGCAGTGATCCGGATCCGTACCGTCTGGCATGAGCCTGGACGGCGGGGTCTGCAGAGGGAAGTAGACTAGATGGTGACCCTGAGGCAACGATCGAACAGGACTCAACGATGTGGGACTCAACGATGTGGGAGAGTTCAGTGGCGTTGATTTGGAGAGTGAAGAAGATCCAGGCGATGGGAAGATGTCCGAGAACAAGAGGTCCAGAAGATGCGATGGTGTTAGCGATAGGTGGTCTGGGATTTTTTTATTGGTGTGCAGGATCTTGGCGATTCCAGCCTCCAGTGAAGTAGCGGCATGTTGAGTTGAGTAGCCCCGGCGTATAGCGTGGAGCCGGGAAGTAAGTGGTCTCATGCTCACGATCCCGTTGACGACTTACACAGAGTGACTGACGTATGAAATTGAAATTAGAAGTACTGGGTGAGTATGCATATAGGCGGGGAGTGGGTGTAGTTGCATATCGGATAAGACTTTAACTCATGCAAAGCCTTGAAGGTTTCTGTGTAAAAGGAATACAAGACGAACAAATATATGAAGAACAGAAAAGACAAAAAGTCACTAGAATTGGAAGAGAAATTTTACAACTATTAAGGTCGAAGCGTGAAGCATATAGCCAAACAGGGGCCGACGTCAGATTACTTGCGCACACCATCACAGGCAGGTAGGTGGTAGGTGTCTCAAAACTGGCTTCAAGGAGTGACTGAACATTTAATCAATTTCCATTCTATCTAGTCGCGATCAATAAGCGGTCGCCTCCCGACCGCTCTTGAGTGTTCTCCATCTGCAAGAGAAACATCTGGACACTAGTTAGGTGCATGTTCTTGAAATAGCCGAGAATAGTGATCGTACCTGTAGACTAGGTCTCAACTCAAGAGGCCTTCATAACAGACCGAAGCGGGCTCGGGCGCGCCACTTGGTGAGTGAGGTGAGCCGGGCTCATCGGGCGCCTGTCTGCTAGGAGCCGATGAGCGACCTTCGGCTTGGGCGCCGGCGCGGGCTGCGAAGCTGTGCGCGCGGATTCCTCTTCGCTGTTATGCTTCAGAGACGGTACTTGAGTCGATCCCTCGTTCTCGAGGGGCTCGGTTGGTCAATCTGAAAAGGGTCAGCCGGCTGCAGCAAATGTAGAGACGGAGAGGGCTGCATACCGTCGTAGTACTCATCGTCGTCCTCGTCAATATCAGCCAACTGTTCAAAGTTCACCTTGTACCGGAGGATACCACCGATGCCACCGAATCCCTTGACGAACTGGTTTCCTTCCGTGGAACGGTCCGAAACGAACTCTAGGTTGGTACCAAAGTCCTTGTAGTGCTCCGCAATCCACTCAAGGAAGGATTCTTGGGTGACAACTTCCATCTCCTGGCCGGTTTCCTTGTCCATGAAGATGGCGCGGTCTCCGGATTCCTGCTGCTTGGTGGTGTGCAGCAAGTGCTCGGTGCCCTGACTGTCCTTGAGCTTCCAGCGGGTAATCTCCAAGTTCTCGAAGACAATGAGAGTCTCAACAGCACCGAGCTCCAGAGCCTTGAGAGTGTCATCGATACCGTAGCAGACACGTCCAGTGTCCTGGCTGATCTCCTCGAAGTACTTTCCGATGAGCTTCTTCTCCTGGATGAACTTGACGTTGCCGAGAGTCTCGGAGGACAGCTCGATGGCCTGGTTGAAGCCGTTCTCACCACCGTAGGAAACGTCGACAACCTTGATGACCTTTGTGGCCAGACGGTTGTCGAACAGGTCGGAAGCATTGAGGTCAGTCTTGAAATCGGCGGAACCAGCAAGAATCAGACCAGCGACGTTGGGCTTGTCGTTGGTGATGAAGTTTTGGACAGCCAACTCGGCAACCTTGCGGACGTAGTTGTGGCGCTTCTCCTCACGAAGACGGGCGAAACGAAGGGCGGACTGACCACCACGGCCGTGCTTCTTGGGGAGATCGACAGAGAATTTGTGGACGACTTCTCTTGTGTTTCCGGAAAGAGTTCCGAATAGCGCGCCGTTACCGTCCATGATGATGAAGCCGAACTTCTGGTCTGACTCGAGCAGCTCGGCCAAAGCCTCCGTGTGGAACTTGTTGTCACAGAGGTAGAGGGACGTGTTGATGGGCTTGAAGGGCTCGAAATCGATGTTGACCTTCCTCTCCTTGCCTTCCTGGGTCAGAATTTCACCGCAGTAGACGACCAGTCCGTTGGGAGGGACCTTGTTGTATAGCTTCAAGCGTTGCTGGGTCGAAGTAATGGCTGAAAGCACAGACTGTCTGTTGACTCTGGATTTGATGTTCGACGCCGTTCCCTGTACGAGTCTCGTTAACAATGTTTAGTGTCGAGAAGTGTGCGATTACCGGGACGTACGTATTCTTCGGCCAACATCTTGGCGGCTCGGGAAATCTGATCCTTGGGAGCTGTAGTGGGGGTCAGTCGGGCCCAACACCAGCGACGGCATCGAGGAAGGAAACGTACGAATAATGAGCGAAATCATGGACGTGCCGTTACCACGAGCGGCCTCAAGGCGCTTGATCAGCTTCTTGACCTTCCATATCTCGATCTGTTGTTTCATCCCATCAGAGGGGAACGTCAGCCTGCAGGTTCGGGGCGGGCGCGGGGCAGAAAAAAAAAGGAGGGGCTCGGAGGCCACGATGTAAGAATCAGAAAACAACTCACGTTCTTCTCGGCCTCATTTGCCTGAGGGTCTGACATCTTGAGTAAGGATACTTGGGAAGACTCGGGGGACAACAAAATGAAGGTTACGCGTTCGCGTGACGGTAAGGTTTTTGTTGTCGTCGCGCGGTTCTCCGTTTGCAATGCTGTCGGGTGGTTGCAAGGAAAGAAAACTTGGTGCTGGTCGATTTTTGTGAGTGTGCTGTCACCGCACAAGGATCCGGCTCTGACAGTGGCAGTGGTAGGGCGCTAAACCGCAAGCGAGTCATATGTGCCTTCTGCTTCTGACTGCCTAGCCACTCAGCCAATGGCTGATAGGTACCTCAAGTGGCTACCTCTACCTACCTACCTACCTACCTACGTAAGTACTCACATCCTGACACTCGCACGTACCTTTGCTGTTTTTGGAGCCGCCCCCTTGCCAACACTTGTGTTCGGATTGTGACAACCTTTCACCTTTTAATAACAGAAGGTATGCATTCCATACTCTGACTTATGAGAAAACAACTCTGGGACAAACAATCTTTATAGCTATACTCCAGATAATTTCTTTGGCAATAGAATACATCGATATCTGCTAAAGAAACAACCAACTGTAGGCTTTTGAGACAAAGCTGCCATGCTCCTGTTAGGTATCACCCCACCTGATTTAACAGGTTCCGCCGCCCCTAGCCTGAGAAAACAGCCGATGCAATGACCTCAGCGGGTGGGGATGGCTATGTAATTAAACGAGCGCTGTAGCGACAGCCTATCAATCACCAAATATGTATCTAACGAGTTAACTCTATTGCAACCTCGCAACACGCCTGTCACCATCACAAGCTCCCCCCGTAATTGCCCCGTTGAGCTTGTTCATTGCGGTGCACTGCCCAAGATGGCCTCCTCCGTACCTATCCAAGTCGCGGAGACAATACAAACCGGGCACATCAACCGGACCCCATCCCCGAATCACGACCTCAATCCCTCCACAACCGCCTCCGAGAAGGAGCCTGTGACGTTAGAACCCATCTCAGCTCACGACGACCTTGACGACGATGATGAGCTCGACGACTACATCCCCCGCAGCATCGTGACCCCAAAGCAGCGGTCGGCAAAACTTCCGCCCATGCCCGACCTACGCTTCGAGCAGAGCTACCTTCACAGCATCTCCAAGGCCGATACCTGGGGGCGGGTAGCGTGGATTACCGCCAGGGACCAGGTGCGTGATGCAACTGTACCAAGTCGTGCGCAACTGGAACTAATTTGGTGCAGGTCATGATGCCGCTGGTTCAGGGCGTCGTCTACAACTTGTTCCTCATCGGCTGGCACCATTGGAACAGAAACGCACAGGTGCACGGTAGCTCAATAGGCGCCAAAGTACGGAGATGGTGGTACGGCGTAAACAACTGGCAACTGCCGCCGTCAAGGGGATCAAGCTGGAGGATGAAGAAGGAACTTTAAGAGACTAGGAGGCTAAACAAGGGCAAGGAAGCATGATTGGTGTGGTATCTGTACAGCTAAAACTCATGGCAGAAACGTCTCTGCAAAGTAGGTAACCCTCGGTACCATCGCATCGACAGATGCGCAAATTAACCACAGTACGGGTCGTAGTACTGTCTATGGAAGGGCAAATGCTTCCAGAAATAAGTCATTTAATCGCCTTGGCGGTTCCCTTCATCTATCCGCACTTCGCCTGGAAATTTTACCGCCCAACGCCAAAAGATTCGTCATAACCGATAGCTGAAAAGCCCCCTAATCGCGCGAGCCCACGCCCACCGGCTGTGGCAATGAGTGCGGCTTGTCTGGGCTTCCTCTAAAAGCCAGGGAGGTCTGCACGGCCGCAGGACTGAGCGGCTGCTTGTTGGTTGCCACATTGATGACCGGCTCTGGCGTTCTTTCCTTGGGCTTAGCAATGATCTCGTCTGCCAGTTCGTCGTTATTCGCCATGGCCTTATCATCCTCTGAGGCAGGGGTGATCATGGCTATCTTTGTTGTTGTCGGTGACTTCTTAACCGAGAGCTTAACGATCAGGCTCTTCCGGGGTTCATCGACCAAATCATCATCTGCCATTTCCACATCCTCGTCAAGGTCCTCTTCGTCGTCCTCTTCAGTCTCATCCGGTACATGGTCTTCTTCATCGTCACCCAAATCAGGCTCGCTGACGTCGTCGTTGTCGTCGTCGTCGTCGTCGTCCATGGACTTCTGTCCGCGGGTACGACTGCCTTTAGCTGACCATCCATTTGTACCATGGTTGACTGCAGCAGCTCGTCGGGGTCGGCCACCGGGACCAACAGCGGGCTCGGATTGCTGATGCGAATCCTCTGAGTCTCCGTTCACACTTCCAGCCGCACTACTCGCATTTAACCGGGGAGGGGCTCTGATCTGACGTCCGCTTGCTGTAGTCACCGGCCCAACCGGCTCCGCAGGTGTGCTTGTGCCTGTGTTGCGGGCTGAGCGCCGAGACGACGAGTCTGTGAAGTCCTCATCGTCGGAGTAAGTGTACTTGATCCGCTTGCCTCTCGTGCGGCCCTCGTAGACAGAGAAACCAGGCTCGGGGCGCTTGAACCGGGCCTTTTGAGCTTGTCGATACTCTCTGCGTCGCCGTTTCTGTGGTCGTCAGTCATTGCTCAGAGCGAAAGCCAGGAAATATGACAAACCTCCTCAGTCGCCTCAAACCGAGGAATGGCCTGCAGCATCTGGTCTGCGAGCTTTCTGGCCCTGGGCCCGCCATCCTTCGTCGACAAT